AGAAGCCCCTGCCCCCTTTGGGGCTGTGCCAGGGCTGGGAAGGAGCCGGAGAGGGTCGGGGGTGCCTCAGCCTGGGGGGCAGCAGGGACAGGCTGGGGGTCTCAGCGCAGGGCTGGGCTCAGCTGGGCCTCGGGAGCTTTGGGCAGCTGGGGGTGGCAGGGGTGGCACCCCCATACCCTGCTGGGTGTGACAGAGACACCCCTGGCACCCCCAGACCCTGCTGGGTGTGACAGAGACACCCCTGGCATACTCAGACACCCCTGGCACCCCCAGACCATGCTGGGTGTGACAGGGACACCCTTGGCACCCCCAGACCATGCTGGGTGTGACAGGGACACCCTTGGCACCCCCAGACCATGCTGGGTGTGACAGAGGTGTCCCTGACACCCCCCAGACCCTCCTGGATGTGCCCAGGGGTGTCCCTGGCACACCCAGACTCTCCTGCATGTGACAGAGGTGTCGTGGCCAGCCTCCTGCAGAGCTGCATGAAAATGCCCCAAAAGATGCATCAGCCTCCCTCCTGCCCCTGTGCCCCCAGAGCGGGTGGGGAGCATTCCCAGAGCTGCTGCAGTGTCACCCAGGCTGCCAGGGCAGGGACTGAGCCCAGCCCCCTGCTCTGGGCTCCTCTGCCCCACAGGGCACAGCCAGGGCAGGCAGGAACCACCAGCACCCTGTCCCTGAGCTGGGCTTTATCTCCTGATTTCATTTCACAGGCACATTTTAAATTGCTACATGTATATGGAAAGCAAACAATAGGGCTCTGTGCCTGCCAGGGACGTGAATCATGTCAGGGAAGTGAGAATAATAAAATATTGTTTAATATACTGCAATAGACACAGCAGATGTTTAACTTTCTTTCAATAAAAATGACCCCATATCATTTTATTAACTTTGGGGATGCACTGGTCTCCTCTCCAGAAGGCAGGAGAAAATCCAGCCATTGTAGCAAAAATTAAAGAGGAAATTGAAGGGGGATAAGGGGGATGTTATCGTGGCATGTTTTCTGCAGCTCTGTAGCACAAATGGCACTGGAACAGCTCCTGTCGAGTCTCACTCCTATCTGCAAAACCAAAGGGAATGAATTTGTACCCCAAATTAGTCATTTTCTCCAAAGCCAGCAGCAGGCTGCTGCATGCAGGCTCCTGAGCAGTCCTGAGCAGTCTCAGAGCTGCTCTGCTCCAGCCTGGCACAGCCACGTGGGCACAGCCCAGCGCGGATTTTGGGGAGGGGACAGCAGGTCCCCCAGCTGCTCTGGAGGGTGGATGCTCACAGGAGCTGCTCCTGCACCCACAGGGACCAAGCTCCTGCTCTGAACTCCAGCAGCAAACACACTTCTGCTGCGGGAAGCTGCAAGCTGCAGGTGAGCTGGGATTATTGCTTTTCGAGACACTTCAAGTGTTTTTCTCAGCATGGGGAGTGTGTTTTGATGTCTGCTGCTTCTACTTCAAAAGGCTATTTGACCATATTCTGCTTTGACATCCTTGTAAAAATATTTGAAGTGCTCCAGCAACATGAGAGTGCTTTGAAAAGCCCACTTTAAATTATCCTAGTGCTTCGTGCTTTTCTAAGGGCTCGGATTTGGGCAGTTTTGTATCACAGAACAATTTCATCACATTAAAGCTCATCAATTTGATGAGCTGGAATTTAGAAATTATGAGGATGGTGCACATGTGTAATGTAATTTTTGGAATGATGAAACTTTTGACAGGCTGCAGAGGCATCGCTGCCAGGCTGTGCCAGGGCTGGGTTTGTGGCTGTGCCTGGTACCAGTCACTGCTCAGTGATGGGACAGGAGAGGAGAAGGGGAAGGGTTAAACCAGAGAGACTCAGCTCTGTTGGAACAGGAATTAAGGCATTTCTAGACTATCAATATGTTTGACAAAGTTCTAAAATGTGCAGCCAATTAAGGGGAATCCTGTCCCACATTTTAATTCTTTCAGTGTCTGCCTGGGCCTGGCAGTGAGGCCCTGAGCAGCTCCAGCTGAGCAGGGCACTGCTCCTCACACGTGTTCAGCTTGCAGAGCTGCACTGGAGCATCTTGGCTGCCAGGGAAGCCATTTGTCACCAGGATCAAGTAATGAGTGATCAGAAGTTGGGCGTGCTGGCACCCAGCCCTCACCAGTTTGCGTGGCTGCAGAGCAGAGCAGCCTTTGGCTCTCCTGAGGTCCCAGCCCGGAGAAAACTGCTCTGGGAAGGGGCTGGGGTGGGCAGCAGGGCCCTGCAGTGCCCAGAGCAGCAGCCCAGCTCGCCCTGGCACGGGCTGACAGCTCCAGAGGGGACCCCAGCCTGCCCAGGGCTGGCACCCAGGACAGTCACACGGGTCCCTGCTGTCACACAGTGCTTGGTCTGGCTAGGGCTCCACCTGCACGGCCTGAGCAGTGCTGCCCTCCTTGTCCCCTGTCCCTGGGAGTGTCCCCTGTCCCTGGGAGTGTCCCCTGTCCCTGGGAGTGCTCTGCTCCCTGCTTTTTGGGCTCGTGTCCCACCTCAGCACTGGCCAGACCTCCTGGCAGCGGGAGGAGAAGCTCTCAGAGGATGCTCTGGGGCTGCTGAGTGTCTGAGCTGGTCTGGGGTGCTGCAGGTTGGCAGCGGGAGGAGAAGCTCTCAGAGGATGCTCTGGGGCTGCTGAGTGTCTGGGACACTGGGGAGCTGCAGGCTGGGACAGTGCTGGGACAGTACTGGGGACAGACAGTGCTGGGGACACTGCTGGGGACAGACAGTGCTGGGGACAGACACAGCTGGGACACTGGCAGGCCTGGCTGTGGTCCCTCCATCCCAGAGCTGGCTCTGTCCCCCAGCTGCAGTCCCAGCTCAGCTGGGCACAGAATTCCCCCACTGAGGGACATCCCCGAGCGTTCTGTGCCTGCTTGGGGCAGAGCTCTGCAGAGTGTCCTGGCAGAGGAAGCAGCTTCAGTGAGAAATACGTGTAAGGAAGCAGAAAAAGAACCAAAGAATGGCATTTTGTGTCCAGTGGCTGTGTCCCTGGGTCTCACCTCCTGGCTCAGCCTGCAGCCCCAGGCTCTCAGTGTCACCAGCTCTGCTGGGTTTCTCTCTGCTTGCTCAGAAGTGAATCTGTCTCAAACCACTCCTGCTCAATGGAAGCTGCTCTAATCTGCTTCCCCAGAGGGCTTTGCCTCGCTCTGCATAGAAACAAAATCACTGGGATAAGATTTGGTGTTGGAAATTGCTTTTTGGAAATTAAGAACTCTGTGCAGCTTCTAACTCCAGTTTATTGTCAGGCTGAGCAGCCTTGTCTCATGTCAGCCCTGAGCAACTTCTGTTAACACAGAAATACACAAATAAAACCAGCTCACAGGTGACTACAGACTTTTGAGGGAAATAGTGATGGATGTCTAAAGTGCTGTAATTGAACTCATGCTGGAGCTTTACATAAGCAGAATAAATGAAAAGAGCTCCCCTTTTTTGAGGAGGGGTGTTCAGTATAGATACAAAGGCAGGAAAAGCCAGGTTTTGCTGTACTCTGGAAATATCCACCGTGATATGAGCAATGTACCCACTTTCTAATCTCAAATAAAACACAGGCACCCTGCTTCACCCTGCTTAGAGCCTGGGGAGGCTGTAATTAGCCTGCAATGTTAATTCTTTCTACAATTCTTTACAAGTCAAAGTACCAAACTTTACTGAGAGACCTCCTCTCGTGTTGAACAAGGGCTTTTCTGTGTTGTGCTTTGAATTTAAGGCACCTGGAAAGACAAAGGCTTCAAAGCATCCATTAGGGTAACTCCTGTCAGATCTTCCCACTGCACTGGAACAACCCAAGGAGTGGATGTAAAATTCAAACTGAATCTTCAAGGTGTTTCATTAATGAGGAGCAGTGCTCAGTCGTGGAGTTAATTGCTTGGCTCTTATTTCTGTGACTGGGGTGGAAGCACTGGAAGATGGGATGGGGAGGAAGAATCAGCTGAGCCTTTGAGTCACTCAGAGGCCTCACCCCTCTGATGAGAAGTGTCAGATTAACATTCATTAATGGCCATAATTACCTGTGCCTGGAGCTGAGCCGAGCCACCCCAAATGAAAATTCAATCCTGCCAGGAGTGCCTGTTCAGCCTGCTCTCCAGAGTGCAGAGCCAGCAGGGTGCTCAGGGCTGGCACTGCCAGGGTGCTCAGGGTGCTCAGGGCTGGCACTGCCAGGGTGGTCAGGGCTGGCACTGCCAGGGGACACACGCAGAGCCAGCAGGGTGCTCAGGGCTGGCACTGCCAGGGTGCTCAGGGTGCTCAGGGCTGGCACTGCCAGGGACAGACACAGCCCAGCTGGGCAGCAGTGCTGTGCTGGCCCTGAGCTCCTGCACTGCTGGGCCTGCACAGCTCTCACCCTGCCAGAGCCCCCATTTCCCTGCAGCTTGTTCTCCTGGCTGCAGACTCAGCTTTAGCCCTCGGCAGCTGGGAAATGTGTCGGTGCTGTTGATAAAATTGAAGAACTTGTGCATGTGATGAAGCTCGGTGGCCAGCAAGGGGCAGAAGCAGAGCTGCCAGCGCTGCAGAGGGAACACCTCAGGGACCAGAGCTCCAGCAGGCTCCCAAACAGCACAGCAGGCACAGCCAGCTCTGCCTGGCCTGGGGGAGCTTGGCCATCAGTGAGGCACGTGTGACACGCCACAGCTTGGTTCTTTTGGGAACAGCAGCCAAAAAAGGGGAAAAATATCGGGTCTCTGTTCTGTCTCTTATGCAGCTTCCACTCTCCTAATATTATGCTTTTTTAGCTGGTTATAAATGGGATATTCCAGAAACACAGCATATGGAGCTTCTAAAACAGAAAAGGAAATTAGTTTTTCCTCATAGAGACATTATTATTTAGTCATTCCAGTTTTAAATCATACTGAGGAATGCAACAGCTGAAGCACTTTTGCTGATTTATCTGGGCAAGGATAGGACACTGCTGTAGTCCCTGACAGAATTAATGGGGTGCCTGTGGACATTCAGAAATCCAACACCAGTCCACTGTGTCTTCAGGAAATAAAGGCTAAAGAACAAAGTAGTTATAGTTTAATTTTATTCACCTAGAAACAAAAGGTCGAAAGTCACAGCATGGAGGTTCATTTTATTTTGTAAACTCATTAAAAAGATGTCCATGTACAAAATAAGGACATTTTAAACAACAGAACCGCAGACAAAGGAAACTATAAAAATTCAACACATTAATAAAAAGGCTTTATTTTCTTTCTGCATAATTCCTTGCACCTTCCATACCAGTCTGCACACACTCTGAAGTAGTACAGTTGTTAGAATCATTAAAATTCAAGAGGCTGAACATAAAGCCATTTGCTCTGCTGGAGGAATGTGTTGCTCAAAGATCCAAACCCTGGAGCACGTTAACTAAAAGTAAGACAAGAAGGAAGGACCTGGCTAAAGGCTGCTGAATGGTTACTGTGCATTGATCTGCTCACAATTCCAGCTTGCTTTGCTTCCTGCAAATGTTTGGAATAGTCCTTAGGGGAGGAACAGTGTTAGACTGAACAGGGCCTTGTGCAAAGGTGGCTGTTGTCCTAACACATCTAATGCAGGCTCAAAAATAAAAACATTGCTGCAGTCAAACAGCTTCAGTCCCAAGGAGTGTGAATGGTGCAGCAGCCTGCAGCAGCTGTCTGACAGCTCCTGGCATTCAGGATTCAGTCTGGACTGAAATCCTTGATACACTGTCAGTAACAGGTCAATAATAAATCTGAAGCTGTGCTGATTTGTGATTTGTCACCCCAGAATGACTCCCAGCACTGAACCCCACGTGCTGCTTGAGGCTCCTGTCAGTGGTTTCTGTCCCGTGTCCTCGGGGCAGGCTTGGCCTGCAGAGTGTGTCTGTGATCCATGTCCAGTGGGGGTGAGAACAGCCCCTGTGAGTCCCTGCCCTGCCCGGGGTGTGCCAGCCTCAGGAGCTCAGGAAACACCTCCCCTGGAGCAGGAGCAGCTCTGCCCGGGGTGTGCCAGCCTCAGGAGCTCAGGAAACACCTCCCCTGGAGCAGGAGCAGCTCTGCCCGGGGTGTGCCAGCCTCAGGAGCTCAGGAAACACTCCCCTCCAGCAGCAGCAGCTCGGCCGCAGTGCAGTCACCTCTGCCAGGCGTAGTGCAAGACACAGCCCTGCCCTAAGGCACTTCCCCACTGGCACGGGCAGGGCTGCAGGGTCCCTGGGCAGGCAGAGAGCTCGTGGCTGGGCACTGCCCTTCCCTGGTGCTGCTGGCAGCCGTGCCCGGCTCACAGCCTCCCGTTGGCAGCCGCCTCGCCCGCCTTGCCCTTGTGGCGCTCGTACTTGACGGAGACGATGAGGAAGAGCAGCAGGGTGGCTCCTTGGACAGCAGCCAGCAGGAAGAAGTAATAGTTCAATTGGCAGCCGTTAATGTTGCCTAGGGAGAATTGGGGAGGGAAAGAAGCATTAGCTGAGGTGGTACAAAGGAAAACGTGGATCTGGTCAAGGGGCAGTGGTGGAGACTTTTCTGCAGAACCAAACCAAGCCACGTCTCCATCCCACAGCAAAGTTCATTTTAATTATCCACAGCAAAGGCTGGCACTGCTGAGGAAGATGTGCACAGGATAAGCAATGTTTTCTTTTGTTCTCCAATGCCTTAGACCAAGTCAAAAGAAAATTAAAAAAAAAAAACCAAAAATGAATGCTGTAAAGGAAGAAGTTGGCAATTCCACAGATATAAAAAAGCCATTATTGCAATTGTTTCCATGAATGCTGTAAAGGAAGAAGTTGGCAACTCCACAGACATAAAAAAAGCCATCATTGCAATTGTTTCTCAGCCTTTTTTGGCAACAAAGTTTAGAGTTCATGAACACACAGGTGACTTCTTTGTGGTCCAGTTCACCTTTGAGGCTCCCTCAGTTACTGCTTTGGACACTGAGCAGTGTTAAATGTAGAAAGCTCATTGCTAAAACATCACTCCTCTGTTAGGAAGCATGCCCAGCTCCTGCTGGATTTCCAAGAACAATATATTGTGGCTCATTTCCAGCACACCACAGCCAAGTGGACCATTAGAATTATCAGATGTGTTGCAGAGACTAAAACAGTGACGTGTACATGGACCCTAACCAGCTGTTCCTGCAGCAGGCCTATAAACGTTCAGATTAAATTGCTTTAATTACTGAAACTTAAGATTCAATTAAATGAACTTATCATAAAATGCAATAAAATTAAACCGAGCCTTTCCTTGACATTTAAAATACAATATAGATGTGAATCTCCATTTCAAGAGCAGATGTGTTTAAAGAGCAGTAATTATCCTTTATGAGATGGGATATTAAACCCATGAAATCTTAGTTTTGGTGGCAGAAACAAGTCAATTCAATGGCAGCAAGCACCCCTGAAGTGCTGGCAGGGAGGGAACTTCCTCAGGAGCTTTTGGAGGCAGTCACTCACCCCCAATGATGTCATGAGATGGCAGAAATAGGAATTAGGGCATGTGAGATTACAGTGGTGATACAGCATGTCATGAAGCAGCCCCCAGTCATTCCCTGACTGACTCCTTGCAATTCCTCCCCTGGAAAACCCAGGTAGAGCTCAGCTGTGGCTCTGCTGACTTTTCATCTTGCTTCAGCAATGAAAATGGAGTTATAAAGTTCCAGAGGGTTACAGCAGGGGCTGCTGTGAGTGCTGCAGCTGCAGATCACCTGAGCCAGGTGTGTCCCTGCTGGGGAAAGGCACAAACACCTGGTGTGACAGTGCCCAGTGCCACTGAGCTGCTGACACTGATGCCAGTGGCTCAGGAAAGGCACAATCACCTGGTGTGACAGTGCCCAGTGCCACTGAGCTGAGCAGAGTGATGCCAGGGCCTCAAGAAAGGCAACCCCTTCCAGTGCTGGCCACCTCTGGGTAGATTTAGCACAGCCCAAATACTTCACAGAAAGGAGATTTGGCAGTGTGTTCTGTCAGCTGCTTCAGAGAACAAGGGCAAGGGGCTGAAGAAGCACCATCATCATTTGTGGGGAATTCTTCTTCCCTACTGAGCCAGTACCAGCTGAATGATCTCTGTATTGCAGAAAAGGTTCCTTTTCCAGTTTTGAAGTTGACTGGGGAAAAGAAGTCTCAATGGGATGAAATATTCCTTTGGGGAGGACACTTCCATAAGGTTCAGGCTGCTGCAGCTTTTAAAGAACAATCTTATCTTCTGCAGCTTTTAAAGAACAACTTAAAGCCACAGGTGCCAACTTGTGGCACATGCAGGAATCAGACACCACTGCCTTTTGGTAGATGCAAATCCAGTTGAAATGGCAAATTCTCTTGGACCAAACTGAAAGTTTAGGCTGCAATTTTAAGCCATGTGCACATGGCAGGTCTAGCAGACATTTTAAGAACTGTTCACACTCCTCCTTGTTGAGCTAATTAGCCCACTGAGGATGGGAGGGTTTGCTGAAATTCCCAAGGTGCCACCTACTGGTGCCAGTAATTATTTTTAACCTCCACTGGCAACTCAAAGCAGGTGATTTGTTGAACTTTAGGAGTACAAATAGCTAGCAGACAGAAGTGCAGAATTAACTCATGGTAATTTCAATGAAGTCACTTGAAATGAGGAAGCTGAATAATCACTTGGAGAGAAATGGGTACATTTTACTTCCCATAACCACAGAAAGCAATTTCGGTACTTTATACCAAATATATTCTTCTGCTGCACGCAATTTAAATATTTTTTACTGAAATGAAAATATTTGTAATTTCTAGAGATGAAATGCAGTAACAGCTGAGCAAGTAACTGAGGCTCTACAGAGGTGTTCCTCATGCTTTCAGGAGGAAAGTGAATTATTTTGCACAGTCACATTATTTCATGCTTAGATGCAAAATGAAACTATTAACAGAGCAGTAGACAAATTAATATTTTGAAAAGAATAACTGTGTTAAAACTGCTTTAAAACTCAACAGTGCCATGTCCTTGATGCTTAACTGAAACTTCTACTTTCCAGAGCATGAGCCCACTGATAAACACACTTACCAAAATCTGTGTGATTACTCATCCAGCCAATTTCTTTAATAGACACCAGTGCCAACAATCCAGAGCCAACAAAGGAGCCAATGCCCGAAAAGAAAAAGAACAGCCCCATAATGGCACTCTGCATGGACTTGGGAGCAGCTGAATATGCAAATTCTAGGCCTGTATTAAAAGATGAAAAAAAGCTATTAGAGTATGTAAGAAATGAGAGCAGATTGTTCTAGAAGTGTTCTAGAAGCCAGAGGTGTGTGGTGAATCCCTGGCAGTTCCCAGCTCCTTTTAATTGCTTTATGAATCCTCTTAAAGCTCATCAATGTATCAACCCCATGTTGAGACACAGACTTTAATCTTATTTATGTTCCATGTGTAAAATCAACAAATCTGAACCAACATATTCATTTTTCTGTCTAAAATTATCCCCAAAGAAATGAATTTAACTAGCTCAAACCTGCAGTTCCACGTTTCCCACCTTCCCTGTTCCCTGGCTGCTGGGCAGTGCAGGCAGGACAAGGAAAAGTCACCCTTGCATGAGCCATGAACATTTATTTCTTACAGCCTCAGTGTCCCTGTCTCTGAATGTGCAGACAGAAGAATTAACTGGAACTGGAAAGGCAGTAATTATTTTAATTTCATTTACTTTTGATCTAGAATTGTCTGAGTTCATTGCTTGCTAGCAAGCAATTCTTTTTAAGATTGGTAGATAGAGGGCTTGAACTTTCAGCTGTCTTTGCTCAAATTTCATCCAATAAACCCAAGAAAAAGGTACCAGTGACCATCCATCTGCAAATCTGTGCTACTGAATTTGTGTACCAAGAGCACACACTGGGTTAGCTCTGCCACACAAAGATTAATGCCCATGATTAACTCTCCTTTTTAGAATAATACCCCTGTCAAAAATCAAATGGGATTATTCACAGCAGACAATCAAATACATTCATTGCAGAGCTTTTTCTGACAGGTGAAATGCTTGTTTCAAAACAGTCTGCTCATGCTGGGAATTAATGCTACCTCATCTAACATTTTTCTTTGCAAGGAGAGCATTACAGACCTGAAATTGCATAACTCTTGTGTCTGGCATAACGAAGGCATGCTTTATTTCCAGCAGCACTGCTGTCTGCCTGCTCCAGGCAGCTTTTACAGAAACCCAGTGGCATTTCTCCTCAAGCAAAGGATGAACACCTGAAGGCAGGAGGGCCAGGCTGGGGCTGTGCTCCTGGAGAGAAGCAGAGCTGGCTGCTCTAGCCCCCAGCAGCTCCTGCCCCTGAGCTGTGCCCGCTCACCACCCTGCTGCTCCTTCCCCTGCTCTGCACACAGGGCACAAAGGGCCAGCAGGGAACTGAAACTGCTCACCCTGCTCAGCTCTGGGGCTTCCCTGACTCGAGCACAGCCAGAGAAAGGGACACACAGACACAGCTGCCAGCAGGCAGGGGCACAGTGCTGTTTGTGGCCACAGTTAACACTGCCTTTGTTTCCTAGGCTCTGCCACCAGTTCAACCATTCTGGTTCCCCAAGGAGTACTCACCTGCCCAACTGCACTTTAAGAAAAGCCAAGCAGAGTACCCTGAGCACACAGCAGCTTGTTTGTGACTTCTGGTTAAGTGACCAGAGCTGCCAAGGGCTCCTGAGCCTCAGCCACAGCTTGGGCACCAGGCCACTGAGTGTTCTGTGCAAGTTAAGCTCAAGTGTAACACGTGAAAGGATCTGGGCTCTTTTTTTTCTGCATTTCACAGATACACTGGATCTGAGTGTTCCAGCTGGAAAAAACTTTAAGACTCAGAACAAAAACCAAAACCAGCGTAACCCTGAACTTTCTGCAACAAAATAAGGTGCATTTCTAAATTTGAATGGCTTTTGCAGCAACACTAATATTTAATCTGGCATAAAGAATATAAAATCTTCTCTTTGCCTTCAGAGCTCCTTTGGCTGCTGGCAGCCATTGATAATGATTTCATGCTCCTGCAAACAAGCCCTTCTGAAATTAAAGCCTCGCTGCTGTTGTCATGTGAGATTACAATTCCCAGCTAAACAAGGGTGCTTTAGGAGGACTGACAGGATAATACAAAAGATTAATGCAATGTGTGTCATCTTTTTAAAGGTACCTCAAGTGTAACTAATGTGGCTTAATAAGAATATGCTTAGTTTTACAGTAAACACAAAAACAGAGGTATGTTTCAGCTCTTGTGCTGTTCAGTCCCTTTTTGCTCACAACAAACATTTCCCCATCATTATGGTTTTGTAACCAGCAACACTTTGATTATTTTAAGCCTGGATTTCATAACACAGTAGATGCCTTTATCAAGTTTAATACTGAATTGGTAAAGTACACTCTGAGTCTTGACAGGCCTTCTTAAAAATATTAAGAATTATGTTCAGATAACAATCAGAAGGCAGGAAAGAGCCTTTGTACAAAAAATCCAATGAAAGTGCACTACCCAAAGCAATTAAGCTCTGCATAGAATTTCTGGTACATTTTTTTTTCAAACACTGACCAAGAGTTTTCGAAGTTATAATGTGGTTGGCACAGACCAGCAGTGCAGAACAGAATATTCCCCTAAGAATTGTGCAAGCCTTAAAGGCTGAGAACTCCACTGAAGTCCTCTCAGCTTGGAGCTCAGCAAACAGAAAGTGCTTCAAGACCTTTCCACAGCCTGCAGATTTGCTATTTTTCCCTTGCAAACACCTATGAACTATTAATAGTGCCTGATAGAGAAACAAGGTTGTGTAAGACACAAGAAATTGGTTTAATTTTCCATGAACACTTGTGTTTCTGATAAGTCATCTGTTTATCCGAGTTAGGATTGAAGTGGCACCACCACTAAACTGACCACAAGTAATTAATTTTACTCTTTGGGTAAAAATCCGAAATACAGCCTTAGTTTTAGTAACTAACTAAATCAGGCAAGATTTTATCTTCAGATTTTTGCGTGTGGGCATCTCTGACAGGCACCATACACACATAATGAAATGGACAGCAAATGAGTAGACAGGAAAAAAACAACAAACCCCACTTTTATTCTCCTTGCCAAGCAATGCAAGCACCTTATTTTATTTCCTAACAAGTGTGATGACAGCAGCCCACGAGTAAGCAGACACCTGGTGGAGCAGAAGTTCTCTGTTCCACTCAGAGGGGAACAAATGGCCCGTGTGACAGCTGGGGCCACGGCCAGCCAGAGCTCCCAGAAGCAGAGCTCTCACTTCAGGCACTGTGATTGCCCAGGAATGAAAGTAGCCTCCCCCAGGGGAAGTGAAACAGGAGCTCTGCCACCAGCAGTCGAAGGAAAGGAGCTGTGGGTGCAGCCAGCTGGAGAGCACGAGCCTCACAGCGCAGTATTTGCAAAGAGAATGCAACACTTCAGTAAGGGACTGTAGTCAAGCAGAAATGCAGTGAGGTTTAAAATGAGTTTTACATGAGGCACTGGGGCATTGCATGGATTGCACAGGAGCTGCAGTCCCACTGCAGCAGAGCCAAAGAGGCTTACAGTGAGTTTTACATGAGGCATGGAGGGTTTGCATGGATTGCACAGGAGCTGCAGTCCCACTGCAGCAGAGCCAAAGAGGCTTACAGTGAGTTTTACATGAGGGACTGGAGGCATTGCATGGATGGCACAGGAGCTGCAGTCTCACTGCAGCAGAGCCAAAGAGGCTTACAGTGAGTTTTACATGAGGGACTGGAGGCATTGCATGGATGGCACACGAGCTGCAGTCCCACTGCAGCAGTGCCAAAGAGGCTCCTGGTCCCTCAGAGCTGTCCTGTGCTGGGAACCAAGCCCTGCTCCCCAGCACGTGAGCAAACCCGTGCTGAGAGCGTCCCAGGAGATTTCAGCTGTGCCAGCCCAGCCAACAGGGCAGGGAAGCCACAGGCAGCACCCAGAACCCTGAGCTCTCCTGTGTGAGCCTGCACTTGCAGGAAACACACCACAACAGCTGACCTTCTACTCCTCTCCTCCTTCACTGGCAGCTCAGCAATCCGTGAGCACACAGCATCTCACAGGCCCTGCAGGGCACTGAGCATCTCCTCATTTGTTCCAGACACACAAAATGTGAGCAGAGTTTCAGTTTGCTAAGAGTCATGTTGAACTACTGGAACAGCTACAGAAAAACTGATCTAGAAATAAAGTAGATAAAATTATAGAAAAATAGCTGCTTCATTATTAGTATTCACAAAAACTTTTCTTATTTTGCAGATGGAAAAGCTCAAGTAACGTGAATTTAAACTGGTAAGTCTTTCTAAATGTGGTTTATTTCTTCCCTTTGCCCTCACACAGGTGTTTCCACTTACTGACTTTCTAAACTGTGACCAAAAAAAAATCACAAAGCACAAATTGTATTTCCAACACAGAGGAATATTCAGAGGACACAAAACTGCATTAAAGTACAATATTGAAAGAGTAGATTGTTTTCCATTAGGACTTGCAAATATCCAGCACTAACTAGATGCCACGCAAATATTTTAGGTGTCATTGCTTGAAATTCAGTTTTGAAAGCACAGTCTTACATAGCCAGGCTTCAAATGTGCAAGACAATGGTGAGCTCTGCCACTTCAATTGAGCACTATTGTATAAAAATGTATTGGGAACATCAGAGCTTACCTGTAATGACTTGAGAAGTATTTATTTTCTAAGATTCCGTGGTTTATGATAGATACAAAAGCAGATTTAAGCACACACTCTTACCTGCTATACTTGCAAAGATTTCACTGAATCCAATCAGCACATATTGAGGAATCTGCCACCAGATTGGCAAATCTGCAGCATGGTAGGTAACATTCCCAATTGTCTGGTTAATTGTTTTAACCTTCACAATTTTCAGTCTGTTGCTTTCCAGAATTCCTGTGTGAAAGGGGAGGGAAAAAAGATTGACCTAAGATGCAAACACTGTTTTTCCACATTAAGAATTAAATTAGGATTCAGCCCTGCATTGCAATTAGAAAGGATACAATAGGAATATGTATTTGTTTCCTGACATAAAGCATTTCAGACTATTTCTGCTGTTGTTATTTCAAGACATAGTTGTTCTGCCATAGAATTAGTGATTATATTCTCATTCAGTAGCAATAATTATACAAACACTTAGCCCATTTCTGGATGGATCAGCTCAGAGCTCTCATGGACACTGTGCTGGGGTTTTTTTAAAGGCAATTTCATTTTCACAAACTACTACTTTGCACTGTTGAACCATTTCAACTGCCACCATAGTATTCATAAATTAGAAACCCTTTTGCTTATGGAAATGGCTCCACCAGTCCTGCAGAGCTATGAAAACCCTCTATGAATATGATTATGACATTTATATGACACTTTTCATCCAAAAAGATCCAAGAGCTCATTAGAGCTTGATTTACAAGCAATACATTGCATAGAAAGTACTTCATATGGGATGAAAAAGAGACAGGATAGTGTAAAATATAAGCATTTTTAGCTTGCTCAGCACAACAGTTTAGGGTAGAAAGTGAATATCAAATAATGCTGTGGGGTTTTGTTGAAGTTGCTCAGATTAAACGACTCACAGTTCCATAAAATACACAGAACAGCTAACAGTTAATAAAAACCCTGCTGCACCCAAAAGAGAGCTCTGTAAAGGCACTTTTGTCTCTTATCCTTGGAAATAAGGTGAATTTATTCATCACAATTCAGAGGAGCGGGGCTGAGCAGTGTGGTGACACTCCCAGGCCCCCTCAGTGCTGTCAGCTCGGGGCTCTTTCTGTCCTGAGCCCGACCTGTCCTCACCTGGGACACAGAACGTGTCCCCAAAACCCTGCCTGCCTCGTGCCATCCCAGCGTGTGCAGTGACTCCCTCTGCCTGCTCCCTGCCAGCCCCCCTCTCCTGCAGCACCCACAGCACCCACAGTGCCAACAGTGCCACATTCCGTGAGCCCTGAGCCCCTCGCGCCGCGCTGGCAGCGCTTCCCAGAGCGATCACAGCTCCTGCTGTACCAACAATCACAGCTCCTGCTGTACAAAACAATCACAGCTCCTGCTGTACAGCATGGTTCCCAGGAACAATCACAATTCCTGCTGTACAAAACAATCACAATTCCTGCTGTACAGCATGGTTCCCAGAACAATCACAGTTCCTGATGTTCACAATTCCTGCTGTACAGCATGGTTCCCAGAACAAACACAGTTCCTGCTGTACAAAACAATCACAGCTCCTGATGTACAGCATGGTTCACAGGAACAATCACAGTTCCTGATGTACAAAACAATCACAGTTCCTGATGTACAAAATTCCTGATGTACAACATGGTTCACATAAACAATCACAGTTCCTGCTGTACAAAACAATCCCAATTCCTGCTGTACAGCATGATTCCCAGAACAATCACAGTTCCTGATGTTCACAATTCCTGCTGTACAGCATGGTTCCCAGGAACAATCCCAATTCCTGCTGTACAGCATGGTTCCTGCTCTCCTGTGCCTTCCCAAGTCTGTGACATAAAACTGAGGGGAGCAGCCCGATCAGCACCTCTGTGCTAAGTGACAGTGCCAAATGTCTCACTAACATCTGAGATTTTAGGTAAAGATTGGTCTGAATTTATTCCTTCTTCATGTCAGGCCAGCCACCACATTTTCTCTATATTCCTCACTTCTTTTTAGGTGACCCATCTTGTTTTTATGTATCTTTCTTTAGCTCTTCACCTACCTCAGTGCCCTCTGAACTATGAAGGGCTGCTGTAATTAAAATAAAACTGGACTTCTTGATGTTTTAATGTTAATATAGCTGCCAAACACTTTAGAGTGGAACCTAATTAAAGTGTAAACAAAGCAGTAGAGTCATCTAAGAGCTTAGACACAATTTAATTTATTTGCACTCAACACAGAATTGTTGCACCTCAAAACATCAAGTGATCTTGATGTGTTTATACTCTTACAAAATAAGCATTGAGCTACCTAGGAGCACAATTACAATATACCAAACTTTGCCATAAATTCGTCTTTGAAGTACTTCAGAATCTGGAATCTATTGATTCTTCCCTTAAGACTTTGATAGACAAGTTTCATATTTAATTTTACACTCTTAGTAGTTAAAATAATCTGAACTTCTTGCTGTAATGGTTTAAACTCTATAAATGAAGTAGATTTTCCAGCTGAATAACCATGAACATTGCTGCTCAGAATTCACCATGAGATGCATGAAGCACAGCAGATGTTCATTAAATCTAATCAGTTGTATTTTAACACAGTTTATAAAATATTTTAAATAATCTAACCAATCTAATAGGCAGCCTGAGTAGTGTCCACAACTAATGGCTGTTAGATAAGCAAGTCAAAATGGAAATATGGCACAAACAAATCATTAAGATGTTGCAATGATTGCAAATTCTTGACATTTTCATGTGTTTAAGATTTCATTCAGTGTTCCGCTCAAAGGCAGTGGTTGGAAGTGATAGTGTATTTTAAGGATGCTAAAACATGGCAGCTATAAATATGACTTAATGAGAAAATAAAAATTGAATGAAACCTAGAAACCAACACCTTGCTAGAAATAAACAGTTTCCTAAACCCCAAATTTGTCACAACTGAAGCTCTTAAATTCCTGTTACGATGAAGAGATGTCAGTTTACTCCTAAAGGTCAAAACTTTCCAAACAGATTGCAAATAATCACCCAAAGAATTCACCTTTTCAGTTTCTACTGGGGCAGACCTGGGGAGGATCAAACCAACAAAAGCATTTGTTACATTTGTAGGTGAATTGAAAAAAGCATCAGAAACTTGAAGGAATTCTGCTGTAGGAACCCATTCCCCAACTCAGCCATCACAGCTTGATGTGCTCTTCCCCACTAGAATAAAGACACATATTGCTGGTTTTGAATTCCCTCATATGTGAGCCCACAGGTTCTATTTAAAGAGCTGACATTTTAAGTGTTTTACATCATCCTCTCTGCAGCAGCAGTGTCCTGAGAAACATGGAATAAGAGAAACACTTCTATTTAACTTTATGTCACTTTGCTTGAGAACTTTCCTTGCCCACAAAGTGACCTTGGCCTAATAATTACCTCTCTCATTGAAAGAAATCTTAATAACCATACAAAGTGTCCCTCTCCCTACAATACAGGGGATCCCAAGTGCTGCAATGAATTTATTTAATGCTGTAATGATTTATCAGGATGTTCATTACAGTGATGCTGGTGAGGGCTATAGACTCTGTGAAGCATTGCTCAGAGATGTTCAGTTCCACATCAGCAGCACTTAACAACTTGAGATCATCTCCAAAGCAGCTGATTTATGGGGCCAGCAGAGCTGACATCTTTTCCCTTTCATGCCACAGCTGAGTTATTTTACACTACACTAATTCCCAAACATTAGGGAACAGGAAGATAGGGGGGAGAAAACCCAAAGTGGGAGGAAACTCTTGTTCAGCCTTAACCTAACTTTTTTATTTCAGAGCATGGGAAAGGATTTTGGGTAAAATTTCAGCTTTTTTATACTTGTGAGTAAGAATGTATGAAGAAACATTTTTAAAGGGTATATGCAAAGTCTACTTCAGGCAGGAAAAAATGGTCCTATTTTATTGCAAGTGTTCAAAACAGTTTAGCAAATTGTTGGATGCAATCCCCTTTACTCAGGGAAATGCACCCATGAAGGCACATCCCAACTATCCCACTAAAAAACATCTGAATAATGCTGAATTAAATATTCACACAGCTCTTTAGAAAATGCTGTTGCAGTGAGCTGAACAATTCACCGTGTCAGGAGATGTCCAAGTCGTTTTCTTACCTGCAGCAAAGGCAGAGCACATCACAAAGAACATTCCAACTGCAATCCTCTTCAGTGAGGATGGCAGCAAGCCATTCCTCTTCAAAATGGGGTCCACCAGTTTGTCTTTTAGGGGTATCAGGATCAGGATAAGCACTGCATCAAACATCGTCAGCCAGGCTGCTGGGAACTGAAAGGGGAGATGACTCCAGTGGGCAATTTCATACTTAGGAGGTAATTTTTACTATTATTATACTAATTTTTACTATTACTATACTGATAAGGTTTTGATTGAACACTTTGATCCAAAATAAACAGCAATGCACTGACAGACATTGTGAAAATTCAAATAAGAGTGTTTAAAAGCTGAAGAAAATACTCAGCTCTTCAGGTTTTCATTGAATCTGGCTGCTCATACATCTGTAAGTCCAGTTTCTCATCTGACAGAATTGAACAATTCAGTCATGAAAAATATTTAACAGCCAAACTCTGTCTGTCTCCTCTTAAGCTTAGAACTATCACAAATATGCCACAGAAGAGCAGAATCAGTCTTACTAACGTAAATGCAAAGTTCAATTAAAATCAAGTTACCCTTGTCAAATGACTAGAGAGGGTGGTGTAACACATGTAAATCCTGTAAACCCTGTGTTTTACTTCTCTGTACCATTTCTGCAATCACATGGTGCCAGCCTTTCTTGAGAAGTATTGATTGAACAGCTTCTTTCAATATGCTGAAGGTAAAGTGATTATTGATTAGGCAGTCTAAAGTAACAAATGTGTCTCCAATTCCACGTGCTAATGTATCACTGAAGGATGGGGATGCATTCCCACTGGGATTGCAGGAATGCTTCTGTCCTGCTCTGGAAACTCAGGGCGTGGAGATCCATCAGCTTTCTCCAAAGGTCAGACTTTGGCCTCTGAAGGACAAAGAAACTCTGGATGAAAGCAGTGAGAATTACCTGAATGCATCAGAGCAGGCTGGTGTGAGCTCCAGACCCCTGGTGTGACAAAATCTGGGATGTGCATTGTGCTCCTCTCCTAAATCCCCAGAGGCTGAGGCCCCTGATTCCCAAAGGCACTGCCTGAACTGCCTGGAATTTCTGTACCACGCTGACCTAACCTGCATTCCCACTAAAGAAGGGCCCCTGGCACTTGTTTTGCTCTGCTCACCGTGTGGATGGAGTTGGTGTCGTTGGAGATCTCGGGGATTTTCAGATGCAGACTCTGCAGTACATACGTTGTCTGCATCTAGCATTAGGAAAGAGGAGTTGGGATTACTTGGACAAGGAGTGCTGAGAGCAAGGTATTTTTCATTTTGTAACCATTAACAAAGATTATACCAGAGGTGAAATGCTAACACAGCAAACTGAAAACAATTACGGTCAGAACATTACAAGAATTTTTAACCTTGTAGCTATTTTTACTAAAAACACAAAGAATCATTTGTGTGTCTTTGAAAACAATTTCTGCATTGTTTCTTTTGCCCAAAATGTATCTGATATTCTGAATCATCTCCATAAGGCAGAACCTGAAAATTAAAATGAGGTCTAGACCAGTAAGCCTGACCTATATGAAACAGCTGAAAGATGAAACACAGCACAGCATTTAAGAGATGTGAATCTGTACAACTGTGAGTCTTAACTACAATTGCAATGATTTTTTTTTTCTATTATTAGGTCAAGATATTATTGAGAGCATTCCTTAGTAGTCATTTTTCACCTCTCAACTTCAAGGTAAGTTTCCTATTTATAAGAGAACACCCCGAAAATGTTAAATCAGAGATTATGTAAAATATTACTGTAACCATTTGGAACTACTCACTTGAAAATACACTGTCCAGTAAGGTATTAAAGCCAGAAAGACAGGGATAATCTTGACAAGAGCTTTCACATCCTCCACCTTATCTTCTCTGAAGGGGCCCCCCCGAGACAGCTTGGCCATCTCGAAGAGGCTTTGCTTGCGAGGCGGGTGCAGCACTCCCTGGCCTTCACTTTGGAAAAGGATTTGAGATGTTTACTTACACATAACTGGCAATCTTCCTTATAAAAAGCTAATGCATTTCCAAAATGAGTAATTCATGTAAGTTCCAGCAGCACAGCTAGGCTAGAATGGATCCCCAGCGGGTGGAAACACGAGAGGAAACCTTCTGCCATGGAGTTTCCTTATTTCCCATCCTCCCCACACAGCCCAGCCCTGAACAACTGGCAGACCCTGGAGTAGCCTGCATTTTGTGATATTGCTGGTTAAGTCACTGAACTGTCTGGCAATCTGAACACATGCAAGCCCACTGCAGAGGCACCTGACACCTCTTACCAGTGATTCAACTCAACCACCAGTATTTCTGGGCAGCTCTTAGGTGTGGAAGAATTTTGGCCTCCCACCAAGCCACTTACAGCATTAAATGCAGATGACAGTGCTTTTCAAATCAGAAGGCATCCACAAACATATCTTTTATATATAACATATTCACATATATATATATAAAAGATAATATAACATATTCACAAAACCAAAGAAAGTTAACTAATGCTGAGAGCAGCCCAGTGAGGCTGTGGTACCCCTCAGGAACGCTGAGCTGGCAGGACACAGAGCTCAGCTGACACCATGGTCTGGCTGCAGGGACACCCAGTGCTCTCACTGTGCCTCTTCCATCCCTCAGCTCCCAGAAAGCAGCTCCAGCTCTCAGAGCAAAGCTGCCAGTGTGAGCTAAGGAGCTCAGTCCTAGCTGACTGAAGGAGGCCACACAGAAGAGCTGTCACAAACCTGTTTGCTGCGTGCTCCCCGTGGCTCTTCTTGGAGCAGCAGGAGTACGTGAGAATTCTGAACATGTCGGTGAAGGCACTGCCATCGGGAGGTTTGGTGATGAAGAAGCTCTGCCCACACAAGAAAACCATGAAGGAAATGCCAATGCAGACTGTTGGGATGCTGTACCCGATGACAAAGCTCACGTTCTGCTGGATGTAGGCAATGCCTCCCAGAGAGAGGATAGCTCCCAAATTAATGCTCCAATAAAACCAATTAAAAAACCTTCTTGTGGCTTCTGGACCCCGGTCTTTGACCTGGAGAAGATTAAAAGCAAGCCCTTCAGTTTCTGAAGAAAATAAGGTTAAACAGAATTAGAATCTTTGAATTAGAATTCAAACAAGCTGAATGCACTGAAGAGCTCAGGTTTCATTTAGAGTCACACTGCAATGATTTAAGTGTTTTGGGCTTCACATGTATTTGATGAAATGACACCTCAGTGAGAGCTGCACCATTATTCTAGAAGGTGAGTAACCTTCTAGAAGCTCAGCACAGGGATAAAAAACTACTCCACACTACTGAGAGACACAGCTTCCCCAGAGAGGCCACTCTTATTGCTACTGCACTGACTCTCCCTGGCTCATTTCTCTACAAAAAGCTCCCTCAGTTAACATCCCAGTACCACAGAAGTTTAAGTAACTATTTTTCAGTAACAAAAAGTTAAGCTGCCTAAAAATTCAAATATTGCCACAATTGCTTCTTCTAACTGCATTTACATAACAGTTAACACTATTCCATTTTCTAAGCCTCAAATGAATACTTGGTAATTAAACAACAAATTTTTAACAGTATTAATGCCTCTCATCAGAACAGAAATTGAGCACTTGTCCTTTGGACCTTTAAAAAAATTAATTAAATTTGGGTTGCCTGAGGATCACAAAGCCCCAGTAAATATTTATCCCTGTAAGTCAGTGCTGTTCATAGTGTTATTTTTTCTGTTTCTCTCACTGTCTCTCCAGTGAAAGTAAAGCCATCCCTGGTTTACAGAACTATCCTGTACAGTTTTCACCATCCCTCTTTATTATTGTCTATTGTAAGTTACCCCACATTTTGTAATTCAGTTCAAGGAACCCAGCATCACTCATAAGAGGTGATGTAAGAGAAATGATGCAAATTAAAATCTGAAATACATTAAAAAGATCAAGTAGTCTGTAGAAGAATCCATAATACTGTGTTTGTCAGTGGCTGATGACTGAAAGGCCATTAACAGTGGCTAGCAAGTCAGTGCCATGGCTGAGTCAGTTATTTTTCATTTGTAACTGCAAATTTCCCCTCCTCATTTGCCACACCTTCAACAGACCCATATTTAGTTTGCAGTATGAAAAGCAAGCTGTGCCTTATAAGTGAGTTTTTAACACTGCCAGTTCTGATTAACAGCTTTGGGTTTCCCAGTGGTGCACAAACCCATCTGTACCATTTAGCCAAGCCCCAGAGAGGAAATGTTAAAGTATCAATTCCTGTGCACAGTTAATAGCACTGCCAGGCATTCAGGTGCCTCTGTTAGAATGTCAAACTCAATCCTGGACACTAAACCCAAGAAATTCTCCCTCTCCAGCTTCAACTTGGTACTCAATTCCTAACTTTCACCATCTGCAGCAGTGGATCAATCTAGGAATTCCTCCTAAAGCCCAATGAGCAGCAGGATATTAGCAAACAATTACACAGAACACAGTGCTCCAGCTTGTCTAAGTGTTAGCAATCTGTTTGATGGAGTTTCCGTTTCTTCATCACAAAGTCTCAGTTCTCTTATTTCTGCAAGGCAGATGACTTCTCATCCTCCCTCTTGCACATGACCTTGCTGACATCTCTACAAAGGAAAGCTGGCAGAAGAAAGCACACTTTGATGCAGGTAAGAACAGGGAAGCACACCATGAGCCTTCTGTCAAGCATTATCCCAGCCTCCCACCATTAGCTCCTGAGAAACTTCCTGAACCAAGGATGGCTTCTCTCTGCTTAATCAATGCAGCAGCTCTCCTCTCCATGAGCTTGTGTAACCTGCCTCTGAACCCGGGTCAGCCTTCAGAACCCACAACATCCTGTGCCAGAGAGCTCCACAGGTAATGGCACAGTGGGAAGGAGTGCTCCACTCGCCCGCTTTGAACCCGCCCTGTCTGAGCCTCGCTCCTTTCACCCTGTTCTGGAAACAGCACAGACAGCTGAGCTCCAATCCCATTCCCGCCCCCGACACAGACCAGCTCCATCCCATTCCTGCTCCACTGCTGGCACAAACCACTGTCACACCTTCCTTTTCGCTGCCTTTTCAGAGGTAGGAAATTTAGACTGGTTTGTGATTCCTCACCTGGAAACTACTGACCATGTCTGTGGCCCTTTCTGGAAACTTCCCTCACCGTCTCCAGGGTCCTTTTTGTAGCAGTGACCAAAAGGAAGGCAGTGCTCAAAGGACAGACACACCACAGACTTAGAATGCATCTCCTCCTTCTTTATCAAAATATGTATTTGCACTAAAAATCACATCACAGCCACATCTGAAATGCCACTACAGCATTTAACTGGCAAACATTAATAAGTGAATAAAGGTCCCACTGAATCTCTGGTGGAATATCTTCTCAAAGACAAAGAACTATGAAGATGTCTTGTCAAAACCCTGCATGAAAGGAACATGACCACTCAAAAGTTCCTGCCAGTGGTAGTTTTCATTTGTTCCTACAGTCAACTGATAGTCACAAGTGAAAAATGTAACAAACACCCCCAAACTCATCCCAGTGAGCTCTGAGAGCAACCACACAACAGAGCAGGGATGGAACAGAGGAGCCTGTCCTCGTCCTACCGAAGAAGGTACAGTGACAAGAGTTCTGTGCAGTCAGATTTACAGAATCCTCACCCTCTAACCCACCACTGCAGACAACCACTTATTCTCTGAGACCCTCTGAGAGAGCTGGGTAGCTGAGCTGCACAGTATTACTCAGCTGCTACATAATTTCAAAGTTTTATACCGAAATCCAGCAAGCCCACAGATAAAGTCTGTTCCTCTCCCATCTGTTATTACTGGCCTCGTGAATGCCACAACTTGTTTCAGACTTGTTCTTTGCAGAGCCTTCGAGGTCCACAGGCTCATAAGAAGTTTGACAGCAGCAACAACAAAACTAGTTGCAGTCAAGGATCTTCAAATCTTTATACGTGGCTCCCCATCCTTATCCAGAGGCTGGAAAATCTATGCTCTACAAATAAATAAAGGCTGGAAATCACTCTAAAGCCATCTTTACTGCAGCAATTTCCAACAGCAACTGTAAAGCACCGATTTTAGCAGAGCTGGAAGATCTGTGGCAGTTATGGCCTGGTGGATTTGTTGGCTGTTGGGCAGCACAGCGTGGGTGAAACCTGGCCTCCCTAATCCCTGTCACCCTGAAACAGAGCCAGCTAAAATTAGAACCATTATGGCTGAGACCAGATTAGGAGTCTGCTACTATTCTGGCCTCGGTGCTGAAGCTGAAACAGCTTTCACAATAATGAGCAGCAGTCCTGTTGTTTCCTAACTGCAGAAAGTCACAGGCTGCTCTGGGGACGGGAAGTGGCAGCAAACACTCACTGGAAAGGGGAACTGGAAAGTGCCAGGTTATGGGATCACATGCTTAGAAACACCATTAGAACCATCCCTCAGATTCACACAGCACCCTGGAGCAGGCTGCAACTTCTAGAGAAACATTTATAAACACACTTGACAAAAGCTGCTCTGTCCCAGCTTTGCAGAACTCCTTTTGCTAAACTCACTGGTGGGAGTTACTCCATCCTAACTCTACTCTAACAGCACTTGTAAAAGCAGGCACTCAACAGAGTTAGGAACCACAGCTTCCAACTTCAGAGAAAAGTATTGCAATTCAGCTTCTGATCTTCCACAAAGTGGTTCTGCTAAATAAAGATCTCTCATTATACAAGAGCTCTCCACCCCAATTCTATACACACATTAAAGCTGAAAAATTCACACGGTAATTTTTAAGAGATCTGCAATGAAATGCAACTAACGTTCTGAAAGGTGCCAACTAAAGTACATGAGACACAATTCACCCTTTCCTTTGGGGAAAGAGGACAAATCCTACCAGCACACATCCAGCCAAAACACGTTTGCAATGTGCTCTGGCCTCCCAAGAACGTGGCTCTGGGATAGACTTTATTCTCAGGTGCAGAGATAGGTGGACAGATACAGATAGATATACCCAGCAACACAGATATACACTCATTTCCCCAACAGTTTTCTACATTCCTGTGCAGGGAAAAGGCACCCAAGAGGGCCCCAAGCTGCACTCCAAGGCAAGTGGCATGCTGTAATATATTTAACAAGAGATAAGCCAGAAAAAGAGAGAAGGGGAAAAATTCAGGCCTCGGCAGAGCTCCACTGATTATTATGGGCCAGAAAGGAGTATTTCTTTTGCTTCACCCTGCATAAATCACTGTGAATTATCTGCAAACCCAGCCAAAACCTGCTTTCCTTGAAATCCTGGGGGAAAAGCCTTTACAAAATCCAGCTACAACAGCTACACTTCCATTGGCAATGGCTCTCCTTTTGCTCTGTTCCTGCCATTATTTATCTCCCATGTTTAACTTTCATAAAGCGTTCTGGGGATGAGCAGTCAGTTTTGAAAAACACCTTACAAGATAAAGTCATATTAAAGCTATTTCACTTGATGGGCTCAGGCTGGCTTAAGCAGAGCTAATGCACTGGGGACACACAATCCTGGGCTATAATAATGTTTTACATTTATATACTGCCTTTCACCCAGCATTCAGAATACACGAAATGCCAAAGAATGACAAATGCAAACTGCACAAGAGAGAACAGAGGTATGCTTGGCAGTGATTCTGTGGTGGATTCTCCCTCTTTCAAAGAATTCATGGCATTTCTGATACCTGCTCTAACCAGAACTCGGAGCCAGCAAACAGACATGCCACTGGACTTTCAGTTTAGTTAGAGAAGCTGCCCAGCAGTACCTGAGCATACTGAAACCCTCCATCTGCAAAGCAGAAATTACATTTCAACATCCACAGCCAGCACACTGCCTCAGCACAGGACTGTAAAACAACTGCATGTAACAGCATTCCGGTTGCTACTGAAGTGCAGGTTGCCTCTCAGACGTTTTCTGTGCACCCCTGGGTCCTGCAGTGGTGACCCAACGGATGGTATCACTGTGGTGGGTCTCCATAAGGTCATCTGACAGGATGTGTCCTTACAGAGCAGCCCAGGTGATGTTTGCCACGGCCAGAGCAGCTTCCCCCATCATGTGATGCAGCACAAGCCTGCACAGAAATGCCCCTCAAGGGCAATGCAGTGCACAAACACCTACAGCACGAAAGCTGCTCCTTCTGCAGCCTTCCTTTGTCACAGGATGGTAAAGGACTCTGCCACTGCCCACGTCATCCTTGTCACAGCTAAAATGTGTATCCTGTACTTCATCCGATGAGCTCTGAGGTCACAAACTCACCAGTGAGGACAATTAACAGTCCACTTAATGGCCATTAAATATTCAAGCCAAGTCCTCAAGACGCTGATGGCTGAGCCAACTCAGACCCCACAGAGGGTGGGGGTAACCCCGGGCAGCGTAACCAGGAAACCAAGGCTCATAAGTGACCTGACACCCCACAGGCACCAAAATTACTCCAAACAGGGCCCAGCTTAACAACCTGCACAGGGAGCAGAGCTGGACGAGGCGCTTCCCTCCAAGGCCGAGCACCTGCAGAGCGGTCAGCGCGCTGGCAGCGCCCAGCCCAGCACGGCAAGCCCCTCTGCCACCCCGTGCCTCGCCATACTTGACCTGGTCTGCCCCGAACGGGGTGATGTTGGCCTTGACCGAGCCGACGCCCAGCCCCACGAGGACCAGTCCCACGAAGGTGGCGGTGGCGCAGTAGCGGGTGGCTCCCGCCTGCGAGCAGGGCGCCGGGGTGGCGTTGGCGGCCGGCGAGGAGCAGTTCTCCACGGGGAACAGGGGGATGTCCCCGCAGAGGCCCTGGCGGGTGTGCGGCGCGGCGATGACGGGGAAGGCCAGCATGCCCAGCAGGTAGAGCGCCATGCTGAGCAGGATGGTGCCGAACTTGCCCAGCAGCGCGTCAGCCAGCCAGCCCCCGAACGGCGACACCAGGTAGGTGATGCCCATGAAGAGCAGCAGCGCCTGGCTGGCCTGCGCGCCCTCCCAGCCATAGGGCGGCCCGTTGAGGAACAGCACCAGGTTGGAGGTGATGCCGTAGAAGGCCACTCGCTCCAGCAGCTCGGCCAGCAGCACGGCGGCGCAGGCCAGCCGCCGGCCCTGGAAGGCGCTGCTCGCCGCCCGCCCGCGCTCGCCGCTGCTCAGCAGAGGGCTGCGCTCGCTCGGCTCGGCCTCGTCCATGGCCCCGCGTCCCCGGCCCCGCGGCGCCCACCGCCGCCGCCGGCCCCGCCCCACGGGCAGCGGCGCGGCGCCATTGGTCGAGGGTGCTGTCACTCCGCCAGCGCCCTGCCCCGCCCCCGGCAGCGGCGCGGTACCATTGGTCGGCGGCGCTGTCACTCCGGCCGCCCAGCCGTCATATGGCCGGGTGGGGCACTTTGGCGGGGCGGAAGTGGCCTGGCTGTGAGGGCGCTTTGGTGGGGCCGGCCCTCAGGGTGTCCGGCAGGGCGGGCGCCGGGGAGGTTCCTCAGGGTGTCCGTCACAGCGGACGGGAGGTTCCTCAGGGTGTTCGTCAGAGCGGGAGCTGGGGAGGCTCCTCAGGGTGTCCGTCAGAGCGGACGGGAGGTTCCTCAGGGTGTCCGTCACAGCGGGAGCTGAGGAGGTTCCTCAGGGCGTCCCTCATGGCGGCCGGCAGTGCCCGCCGGAGCTGGGCAGCGCGGGTGTGCGGCGCCTCTCCCCGCTGTGACCCGGCTGCCGCAGGGCAGTGGGTTCGCACAGAATCCCCGGAGCGGCTCGGTCCCAGCGGAAGGGAGCTCCGCTTGGTCCAGGCCAGCCCCCTGCCCCGGCAGGGTCACCGGCGCAGGTGGCACGGGAAGGTGCCCGGGTTGGGATGTGAGGCAGGGCCCACCGCCGCCCTGGGCCCTGCGCTGCCGTCCTTGGTGAAAAGAGTTCTCCACGGAGAGGTGGAAGTTGTGCTTCAGTTCATGGCATCGTTCCTCATCCTGTGGCTGGGCACCACTGAAAAGAGCCGGGCACCAAGGTCTTGGCACCCACCTCTGAGATAGTTATATGCATTAAGGAGATCCCTTCTCAGCCTTCTCGAGAATAAACAGGCTTCCACATTCTCTCAAGAGATGTTCCAGACCCCAAATCATATTTTTTTTAGGTTTTTTGGTTGGTTGGTTTTTGGTTTGTGTTTTTTTTGGGGTGGGTTATTTAATGCTATAGTTAAAGATTGTCTCACAGCAAGGCCTTTCAGCAGGAGAAGGTGGTAAATGTGTGCTGGAAAAGGCTGGTTTTATATGTGGGGTTTTTGCGTGTTTTTATCTGTGTTTTTATGCGTGTTTGAGCCCGGCTCAGCACCCAGGACGTGCCTGGTGACTCAGGGGTGAGGGCACACAGGAATTATCCAGGCACACGTGGAGAGTGAACACTGATTTCGGTGGGACAAAGCACGGTTAACGTGGTGGTTAAAGTGGGAAAACATCCATCAGTGGTTGCCAGATCACAGCCCTCAGACGTGCTGCAGTTCCACCATCACACGTGTTGAGGTACAGGTTGTGAATGCATGGAACTGTCTCCAGCAGCAGATCTTAAAGTCTTGCTTTTGGCCAGAGCAAAGAGAGGTGCCCGGGTTGGGATGTGAGGCAGGGCCCACCGCCGCCCTGGGCCCTGCGCTGCCGTCCTTGGTGAAAAGAGTTCTCCACGGAGAGGTGGAATTTGTGCTTCAGTTCATGGCATCGTTCCTCATCCTGTGGCTGGGCACCACTGAAAAGAGCCGGGCACCAAGGTCTTGGCACCCACCTCTGAGACAGTTATATGCATTAAGGAGATCCCTTCTCAGCCTTCTCGAGAATAAACAGGCTTCCACATTCTCTCAAGAGATGTTCCAGACCCCAAATCATATTTTTTTTAGGTTTTTTGGTTGGTTGGTTTTTGGTTTGTGTTTTTTTTGGGGTGGGTTATTTAATGCTATAGTTAAAGATTGTCTCACAGCAAGGCCTTTCAGCAGGAGAAGGTGGTAAATGTGTGCTGGAAAAGGCTGGTTTTATATGTGGGGTTTTTGCGTGTTTTTATCTGTGTTTTTATGCGTGTTTGAGCCCGGCTCAGCACCCAGGACGTGCCTGGTGACTCAGGGGTGAGGGCACACAGGAATTATCCAGGCACACGTGGAGAGTGACCACTGATTTCCGTGGGACAAAGCACGGTTAACGTGGGAAAACATCCATCAGTGGCTGCCAGATCACAGCCCTGAGACGTGCTGCAGTTCCACCATCACACGTGTTGAGGTACAGGTTGTGAATGCATGGAACTGTCTCCAGCAGCAGATCTTAAAGTCTTGCTTTTGGCCAGAGCAAAGAGGGTAGGACACTGCTGGTTGTGTGTTTTCAGTGAAAAAGTTAAGTTCATTGACATCATGTAGTTACATACCAAACGTTCAGGCATGACTTATTTTGGAGCAGTGTTGGTAGTGGAGCAAGAGATGCTTGTAAAAGTAAATACAATCATTCAGTAATGGGCCTTTGTAAATAACATATGCCATAAAAATGACTCATTACGTATATTTGCTTTCTTAAGTAGTTAAGAAATTTCATGACAAAGGACAATGAGGAAAAAGCAACCAGCTGTACAGGCATTTCTTTGTGAACTACTGTAACATGACCAACTGTAACAAAATTGCACTCCATCTTTCCCTAGCTTAACACAGTATTGTCTTATTAACTGTGATTGTACTTTCTGAGGAGTTTAGTAATATTTTCAAAGTAATAAGGCACTTTGTCTTATTTTCCTGTTTTAGACCCTCCATAATTTACCTTGGTGAGTGAGGTGAGATTTGTGTGTTGACCTATCCCACGACTGGTACAAACACCAACAATGTGAGCAGCATTTGAAACATACATTAAAATGTTACTAAACTCCTCAGGTGCAGAGATGTGGGTACTCATTCAAATTCACAGGTTGCTGTTAGAACACACACATTCTCTCTGGAAGTACAGCAGGAAGGAGGTTTTCATTTCCCTCCAAACAACACTTAGCTGCAGTGTGTTTAAAACTTCATTGTGGTACATCCACCACCCTTTCTGAGCCCACAGTGAGCGCAGCTGTGTCTCTGCAGGAATGCATGCATGCATGTCCATGTTCTCAAACAGTGCTGAACATCTCCAGCTTATTGTTTCAGTCAAAGCCTCTATAGCATAAAGGCAGAGTTACCATAAATTGTGATAACATGTTAAGGTCTCTTTGAATGTTTCCTTTATTTCCTCTTTATCTCTCAGACTGGTTGAGTTTGCTCATTTCTCACGGAGCTGGCTTTGTCTTACTTTAATGTTTGCGTTTTTTTCTTCTTTGTGTTGCACACTAAACGTGTTGGACAGCTTTGCTAACCCAAAACGTGGCTTTCTGAGCCTCAGGCAGATAAGATACCCTGCTGCAGGGTGCCCCTGCAGAGCCTCCAGTTTTGGGTGCACAGGCTGCTCTGGGCACGCACTGCCAGAGCTGCTGGTGTGGCACACCTGGATGTTCACCTGGATGTGTCACCTGGATGTGTCACCTTGTTGTGCTAAGGCACGAAATGATGACACAGACACTGCTGCTCTCGAGGGGAACAAAAAAGAAGAACTTTATTTTCTGACTCCAACATTTATAGTTTTCCAAAGGTGACAGTGGATTGGAGGGTGACAGTGCCACCTCTCCAATGCCACTGGACAGACCAAGGGTCCATCAATTCTCTCCCCCTCCATGAAAGAATGCAAAACATAGGGTATTTACAGAACTGTGTGTGAGAAAGTTTGTTGAAAGAGAGTAAACATCAGAAGGCTTAACAAAGTCTTACAAAATCAGGGCGGCATCACCTGGACACCCTGGCACCAGCTCTGGACACCCGTGTGACACCTCCAGCTCTGTGACAGCTGAGGAGCCCAAACGTGCTCCCCATGGGCCACGTCAAGGCTGGAGTCCTGGCCAGGCTGACAAAAGCCCTCCACATCTCAGCAGGAGTGGGATTTCATGCCAGAAACACTTCTAGAATGGTGACAAAACCATTCCAGAACCAATGGTTTGGTTCTGCCTACCCTTAGATTGGCATTTACTCCGTTTTTAGCATTTCTGAAAAATGTGTTGCTCTTCAAGCTTGCAGCCAAAATTTTTAGTTCCACTGGAGTTTGAAGCGGTCTCAAGAATGCTGTAGTGAATCTAAGGAATTACTCAGTGAGATGCAGTTAACACAGCTCTGAGCATTGAGATTTGTTAGCAGAACATGAGCCTGCCTACCAAAATGTTTACAGTTTGCTAGAACCCACTCCAGTGTGTGTTTTTATCACTTCTGAACCCTCCATTTCAAAACACCTGTTAGCCTCAGAAATCCACACAAATTATTGGGAGAAGTACTGTTTCAAAAACAATTAATTCAATGTTTCTCTGCATGTGGTGTATTTTTTCTCTGTCTACCTGACAGTGAAATTTGAACAATGAGGCACTACAGGTTTTTGAAGACCACTTTTCTCTGTCTTCTCCAGCCTTTGGGGAAGCTGGCATCTATGTGACCCCACGGTGAATTACATCAGGCAATCAGACCTGGTTATGAGCAAAAAAGTGAGTTTTCTGTCCGATCAGCCTCCTTCTCATCACCACCAACGTCCTGCACCTGTTCTCAATACCTTTACAAGATGTTGGAACACGTTCAGGTGTGTCTCTACCATCAGTCACCTGTTCCCTGTTCATCTCCCAAGGGACTCCCCAAACTGGCCTCTCACCTTCCTGCCTGCTGCCCCACTCAGCTGTTCTGGCCATAATTTATCCCGAAGACTGACTTGCTGCTTTGGGATGTTGTTTTCTTCATCTGGAGTTCACGCTTGTTCTTTTTTCTTCCCCGTTTTGTTGTATCTTTGCATTCTGCCTGTTGCTGTGGTTTCCTGCCTTTTCCCTGGTCTCACACACCTGTGGTTCCGCTTCATTTTGTGACCTTCCTGATGCTGGGAGTGCTCTTTGGCCATCCCATTGCCTTACTCTTCGGACTAGCACATTCCTCTGGCTGTTCTGGTGCTTGGCATCCTACCCACATTTAGATTTTTTCCTAACGGTGTTCCTGCACCGAGCACGAGGCACCCCCAGGGTGGCATCAGGAGGCAGGGGCTGTGATGCTGCCCTGGGGAGGCCTTTGGATTAGCGTTCCCCGGCCGCGATCCGAGCATGTCATCTCAGTGCCTGCGTGACGAGGGCACACGGCGCTGTCCAGAGGGCTGGGGAGGCACCCCGGGAGCCAGGTGCCCTGTGCCCGGGAGCGCCTGGCAAGGCCGGCCCATCCCCGCCCGGGTGGGTGGCTCGGGGCCGCGGCCGCTCCGGCCCCGCTCCGCAGCGCCGTTTCCGGGACCGCGGGCAGGTGAGGCGGCGGGCGGAGCGGAGCGGAGCGGCCGCTATGAGGCTGCTGCTGCTGGCGTGTCTGCGGGCACAGACCGGCAACGCCACCACGGCCGCCAGGATCCGGTGAGTGCGGCGATGGGAAGGATGCGCTGCGCTCCGAGCCCGCCATGCGCGCCCGGCGCTGGCGCACGGCGGCGGCTCCACGGCCGGGATGTGCGGGGGGCGGCGGCTCCACGGCCGGGATGTGCGGGGGGCGGCGGCTCCATAGCCGAGATGTGCGGGGGGCGGCGGCTCCATTGCCGAGATGTGCGGGGGGCGGCGGCTCCATAGCCGCGGTGTGCGGGGGGGCAGCAGGGCAGTGCCAGGGGCAGCAGGGCAGTGCCAGGGCAGCAGGGCAGTGCCAGGGCACCAGGGCAGTGCCAGGGCAGCAGGGCAGTGCCAGGGGCAGCAGGGCAGTGCCAGGGCAGCAGGGCAGTGCCAGGGGCAGCAGGGCAGTGCCAGGGCAGCAGGGCAGTGCCAGGGGCAGCAGGGCAGTGCCAGAGCCGCTCCGGGGCTGCCCTGGCCACGGGCTGCGCCGTGCCCTCTCTGGGGATGCGGTGCTGGGAAATCACTCGGGTGAACAGAACAGCAGAGATGCTCCTGATGTCCCCGTTCAGCTTTCTCTGTGACGCGGGAAAGGGACGTGGCTGAGAGCATTGCTGCTGGGGCTTCACTCTGCGTGTCAGCTATTAGAAAAAAAAAATAATCACTATAAAAATGCAGCAATTTCCCCAATGGTTTTGTCCTCTGGAGGCCCAAAATAATGATTTGGGATCAGCTTATCTAAAAGTTGCCTACAGTTTAGTTGTTCATCTTCGGATGAATCTCTTGGGATATTCTGCTATTACAAGATTTCCCTGACCTTGATCTGTGCATTATCTCAGCTGTGATGTTATGCACAGAAGCATCCTCAGACGTTAAGGTTTCACACTGCTTGTGTCACACCAAGTGCAGCCTTAGACTTCTGCAGGGCTGCTCTGGTGTCTAAGGTGCTGGTAGGACCTCTCTGCTGGTCCTGCCAGTCACCCAGGCACTGGGGGTAGAAACTCCAGACAAGGCTGAAGGTTTTGCCATTATAAAACAATAAATGTTACCAAAATTTTGAGACAAAACAAGTAAATTATTTATGTGTGTATATAATGTATATATATTATATATATATGTATATTTATATATATATATTTTATATATACATGTATTTTAATATATAATATATATATTTATATATATATTATATATACACATATATATTTCTTTTTATGCCTGCATGTTCCAGCCAAGTTCCTGTGGCATTCTGCATTTCCTTTCATGTCTTACCCTTTGCTCTCACTGGATAGTACAAGGCTAGTTATTGTTGGGCACATCACTGCTCATCTTTCCTCTATAAGGTTATTTACCTTTACAAATTAAATATTTACTTACCTTTTTCTTCAATTCCACTTTGAGGGAAGTCAGACGTACATTTAGACTGGAGCTGTTCGGAGTTAATCTAGTGGAAAGCAGTTTTGCATTGTTCCTAGTTAAAATAAGTCTGAATAAGCCAAAAAAACAAATGCTGATATGTTATATCAAACTCTTTTAATTGCAGATATTGATAGTGAATATGTGAGGTACAGTGGCTGAGCACATCTCCAGTGCCCTGTGCCCAGCACAGCCACCCACTGCAGCATCCTGCTGCTCCCTGGGAATTCCTTACCCAAAGTGTGGGAATTTCTTGCCCAAAGTGTGGCTTACCCAAAGTGTGGGAATTCCTTACCCAAAGTGTGGGAATTCCTTACCCAAAGTGTGGGAATTCCTTATCCAAAATGTGGGAATTCCTTACACAAAGTGGACGCTGCTTTCTCAGGCCCACAGACCTTCAAACAGAAAGAAAATAATGAAAGATAAACTTAATTAATGTTCACCATAAAGCTGGGCAAAGGATTCCAGCAGAAGCAGCTTTTGAGGATAACTTGTGTCGTGTTCAGTTCCTCTCTTATCACCTGCTGTAAATGATATTTATTGAAATAATATAAATGAGCCTTCGGGGAAAGAAAATTCTGATCAGGGAAAAAGTAAAGAGTATTAGCCCAAAGTGTGGGAATTCCTTATCCAAAATGTGGGAATTCCTTACACAAAGTGGACGCTGCTTTCTCAGGCCCACAGACCTTCAAACAGAAAGAAAATAATGAAAGATAAACTTAATTAATGTTCACCATAAAGCTGGGCAAAGGATTCCAGCAGAAGCAGCTTTTGAGGATAACTTGTGTCGTGTTCAGTTCCTCTCTTATCACCTGCTGTAAATGATATTTATTGAAATAATATAAATGAGCCTTCGGGGAAAGAAAATTCTGATCAGGGAAAAAGTAAAGAGTATTAGCTAGCAATGAATTCCATCTTCCGGACTAAAAGGGTAGGCAGGTCATCACCAAAACCATCCTGTGCAGATATTTCTATGCAGAACTGGTTTTCTTAAGACTTTATGCCATGAAAAAAACCCCACAAAACCTCTGTGTGTGGCCAAAGGCTTGGCTGTGTCACTTCTAACACTAATCTGCCACACCTGAGTTTGTGTGCACGTGGTAAACTCTGTGTCATGTATATAACTACATATTCTAATTAATATTGCCCTCAGCTGTGGCTGTGTGCGTGCTTAGGGAGTTTTGTTCATTTTTTTAAAAATGTTGAACTTTTGGTTAAATATAAATGAAACAATGACGTTGGCTCCGGGTTGAACACTTGCCAGCACAGATTAATTTTATGGCTTAATATCACAGTGTGTGCTCTGTTTATGGTATTACAGCTCTTCCAATAACTGCTTCATCTTGTCATAAATAAGATCCTCATTTCCTGAGTTTAAAGTAAGCGGTGACAAAGGTACCAGAATCTAATTTGGCTAAAAATCAACTTGCTAAAACAAGTGGTATAATGAATGTGCTGTGGGCTTTCTTCCTATTGGTGTGCATCATCTTTAATCACCTTAAAAAACATGAGCAATGAATAAATACAGCACTAAGCAAAAGTCTGTGCTTAGGCTGCCATTGTTCACCCTTAGAAATGAGATCAAAGAGGCTGTCAAGGAAGAAAAGAAATTACTCTTCCCTGCCCCTTGAAATGTTTTGTTCATCTTTTATTACTTGGGAGTAAGGAGGAATAGAAATCTGGAATTAATAGGTTAATTAGAAAGATTTAGATTAACTGTTTTGCCAATATGTAAATGTTTTTGGAGAGGGAGAAATTGTTTTGGCTCTCATTAACTGGCCAGTTGAGACAGCCATTCTGTAAATCTCCAGGTAATCAGCTGCAAGAGAATTAAAACCACAAATCCAACGGTGCTTATCATTCCTCTGGACAATTGGTTTTGAGCTTAGACATTTACTGGAGTAATTCAGTAATCCAAACGTTTCTGCTATTTTGTTTTGCCCTGTGTGCCAGGGTTGGAATCCCACAGGGGAACACTCCCAGGGCAGGGGATCCTCCTGTCCTCAGGGCAGCTGTGGGAGCTCCTGCACCTCCCTGCTGGGGCATCCCTGCTGGGACATCCCTGCTGGGACATCCCTGCTGGGACATCCCTGCTGGGGCATCCCTGCTCAGGCTGGGGCATCCCTGCTGGGACATTCCTGCTGGGACATTCCTGCTGGGACATTCCTGCTGGGACATTCCTGCTGGGACATCCATGCCCAGGTTGGGACATCCCTGCTGAGACATCCCTGCTGGGACATTCCTGCTCAGGTTGGGGCATCCCTGCTGGGGCATCCCTGCTGGCACATTCCTGCTGGGACATTCCTGCTCAGGCTGGGACATCCTGCTGGGACATTCCTGCTGGCTCTGCTCAGGCTGGGACATCCCTGCTGGGACATCCCTGCCCAGGCTGGGACATCCTGCTGGGACATCCATGCCCAGGTTGGGACATCCCTGCTGGGACATCCCTGCTGGGGCATCCCTGCTGGGGCATCCCTGCTGGGGCATCCCTGCTGGAACATCCCTGCTGGGACACCCCTGCTGGGGCATTCCTGCTGGGACATCCCTGCCCAGACTGGGACATCCTGCTGGGACATCCCTGCTGGGGCATCCCTGCTGGGGCATCCCTGCTGGGGCATCCCTGCTGGGGCATCCCTGCTGGGGCATCCCTGCTGGGGCATCCCTGCTGGGGCATCCCTGCTGGGGCATCCCTGCTGGGGCATCCCTGCTGGGGCATCCCTGCTGGGGCATCCCTGCTGGGGCATCCCTGCTGGGGCATCCCTGCTGGGGCATCCCTGCTGGGGCATCCCTGCTGGGGCATCCCTGCTGGGGCATTCCTGCTCAGGCTGGGGCATTTCTGCTGGGACATTCCTGCTGGGGACATCCATGCCCACGTTGGGACATCCCTGCTGGGGCATCCCTGCTGGCTGGGACATCCTGCTGGGACATCCCTGCTGGCTGTGTGGCCATTCCCAGAGCAGGGACCTTCAGGCCAGCTGTTGATGTGCACCTTGGCATGAGATCCATCGCTGACACGGGCTGCCCTCGGTAGCACCAGGCTTGCACTGCAAGAACTGTTTGTGACACGGGTTTAAGCTTTGCAGAGCTCTTTGCTCCTTCCAAAGCTCAGTTACTGACTTCAGAACACAGAGACAGGAGGAGCTGGTCCCCATCCTCGCTCACATTTTTAATTTCTGTGGGTCACAGTGAACTTTATTCATCGTTCACTCATGCCAATGCAATTTCTCTGTGTTGCTTCAAGGAGAAGCTTGGGAGGGAAATGAAGCGAAGGACATGTTGTTTTAACAATTCTGAAAAAATAAGATCATTTACAAAGAAAACAGGAGATCAGGCAGGGTTTCAACTCGTGTAATTTGGTGAGCTTCAGTGGGAATTGTGAGTATTCAGGTCTGGCCAAGTTTCTGAGAGGCAGTGGGATGACTCTGCTCCCTTAACAAGCTCTGAATTGTGCCATATACATTTAACAGTAGTTGGTGCACAGCTGCTGTGCAGAACAGACAGCTGAGGGAAAGAGATAATTAATATTTTTGGATGAAGCCTATTTTGTGCCATTCAAGAAGTGTCAGTGTATCCACCTACCAGGAGCTTTTTGGAAATCAAACATTCTTTGTCTACAAGTAATTCCGTTAAATCAGTATCAGTTGAAATTTAGAATGTAAATGTTTCTGAAAGGAAGACATCACTGAAAACAGAGCAAGTTTCACAGCCATGATACCTTAGCAATAAGCACACTTTTAACTCCTGTGCCTTCTCATCAGCCAGGCTGTGTTTGCAACTCTAAAGCTGTTTCCTTAAATGCAAACCTGTGAACTGCAGATTGATGCTGAAGGAAGGGAGACTGCTAGCCAGGAGAAGTGAGAAGCAGTGATCAATTATGTAGGGAATAAAAAACTAAACATTGTAAAATATCGCTTGGTGTTCCATAGATGAGTTAGAGAAAAATGTTTTCTGTATAGAAATCTCAAAGTGAAGATGGGTCAGAAAAGGTTTGTACCTTTTAGCAAGGTCTCTGCACACAGTGGAGATCCAGAGAACACTCTTGAAAGTTTCACTTACAAGCTTTGTGATTTCCAAAGAATAGAAAAAATGTACCAAAAAAGAGAGAAATTAATTTCCTGAATGCTGAAATGAGAGGGACTGGGAAATACTTTGTCCAATACTCAGGTGTGTATAAATATCAGAGTAAGCAGTGGCAGTATAATGTACTTCTAAAAATGCTCTTCCACATTTACTGAATGGCTGGACTTCTCCCTGATGCTTTCTGCTGAGGAAAACACCCAAAATCTGGGAGCTGACAGCTCAACTCTACTTTAGAAATGTTATTTCCCCAAGTCATGGCATTGGCTTCCACAAGAGTTTCAGCAGAAGGGAAGAATGTGGCAAGGCCAATTCTAGATCCCAGCAACATTCAGGGTTTGTTGGGACATGTGGGAATTATCTCCTGTATTAAGAGCTGTGATAGAGAGAAAATGTAGCCTTGAGATTTGGCATTTCCAGTGTTGTCTTGGATCCCCAGACTGCAGGAGCTGGGTTAATTTTTATTTCTCATTCACGAGGCATTTGTTCATGAAATGGCAGAATAACGTGGACGGACGTTTGCCAGGAGCAGGACAGATCTGGGTGATGTGTCCCCTCTGCCTTGCCTTCCTTCAGGGACATCTGGGGCTTCACACACAGATCAGTCTTCCCAAAAAAATTCCCCTGCAGTAACTTTGCGGCGCTCCCCGATCGTGTTCCTTGGTAACAGCATATGTGTGAAAATCAGTCTGCTTTTTTTGGCTGTAAGGATGAAAAGCCATTTAGAAAATATGAAAATAACGCTGTAAATTTCAGCACTTAAATACTACCCAATAACTCAGCTCTACACACGTGTATTTGCATAGATGCATCATTTGAAGGTTGTGATTAATGATCTCAAACCCAGTGGAATGTTTAGGGGCTCAAGGCGTCTTTAAATCTGGGAATTTGAATTATTCTGGGAATATTTGCTTATTTTTCCTTCTAAAGATGTATGCAAATATTTTTACGTGCTCCTGAGTAGAATAAAAATCTGTTAAAAAACAAAAAATGGAAGTTGTAGAGGTAATGCACAATCTCTGAGCCTTGGAACACTTGAGGAAGTCCCTCTCTGTTTACTGCAGAAGCAGCTGTCGTTCCCCAGGGAGGCTGGAGCTCTGGAAAGTGTGCAGGAGAGGCAGTCATCCCTACTCTATTTCAAAAAAAAAAACAACCCCACTTTGGATTGGAATTCCTGGCTGAGTTTCTTGATTCCTGATGTCCTGAGAGAGTTATTTTCAAATTAATTGTAATATGCAAACATATTGCTTGTACATGATAGTGATTTATGGTAATTGGAATACTGATGGGAGAAAAAAAATCCTTTCAGACCATTTAATGAGCACCTGTGAAATTACGGAGTGCACGCAGGAGCATCCCGAGGATTTGCCCAGGAGATTTTCCCTCCACAGCTGGGAGATTTGGGCATCAGTGTTGTGAAATAAATGGAGAGCCTCTTTCAGGAGCAAGGCAGGTGCTTGGAACCAGCTCATGGGGCAGCTGCTGGGAGGAATTGCTCAGCAGCATCAGTAAGGAGCTTAAAATGTGGCTGTGTTTTATTATTTATTAGCATTTGTCATAATCGATTGGTCTTGTTTGGAACAGTGGAATGAAAGGGGTTTCTTTTTGGGTTTTCTTTTTAGGAACAAACCCAGCACCATATGTTGTGCCACGGAGCTCTGTCTGACACATGCTAGCACGTTCCTTCCACGGCCTCCAGACATTTCACAGCATTTTAGCACCAGTTTCTGCAGGATGACTAACTTCTGCAGCACAGAAAATCACATTTCTTGGGAGGCTGTGCAATAATGAGGAAATGAAAGCTGACGTGATCCAGGCAGTCAATGAGCTAGCAGGATTTTAATGCCAGGACAATTAACACACAATGAGAAATCAATCGGCTGCCACAATACGGGATAAGCAGAGAAGGTTCTTGTGGTGAGTTTGTGATCCTGGCAATGCAAACTCCTTGTCAGCAGACACAATTTGCTCCTGTGTGGCTCTGGCTGATGCTCCTGGGAGCATTGACAGCTGGTTCTGGTGTCAGGGGAGGAGTGAGGCTGTCTGTAATCAATCAATCAATCAATCAATCCTTGGCTGCCTTTGCAGCAGTGTTTTCATGTGAGAACCACTGCATGTAAAGGTGATGGCTAAGCTGACTGGCAGGGGTTTGTTGCTGGATTTGTTGTTTTTTTCTTTTTGGAATTGAGATTTTTAAAGCAGGCTGTGAAGGTGTTTGTGTAATTGTGTATTTGCTTATACTTCAATTATCCTTTGCCTGGTTTATAAATGGGTGAGCTGAGACAAGAAGCAATTAAACCCACCATCAAACAGAAGGGGAACTCATTTCAGCTCTCTGGCTTTCTTGATGCATTCCTTTTTGATGTTCTGCATTTCTAGTGGCATTGACTAGCTGGACATGTTTGTGCTTTCTTCACTTGTGTCCTGTCTGCAGAACAAGGGGCTGAGAATCTCTGAGAGCGAGGTCTGACACAAAAATTCTGACACAAAAATTCTGACACCTCCCTTCAAAAGGAGGGTTTCAGATAATAAGTTGAGTCAGGAAGGGTCCTGGGATTACTTCACTTTATCTGGTTTTTGGAAGCTGTGTTGCTCAGGCTTGGCCCATGCAGTGTTACCTTGCTTGGAAGCGTGCCTGTGGCTTCACAGTGGTGAAGATAACAAATGTCTTCCAGGAGAAAAAAAAACCCAGCCTTGTGAAAAGCTCCTGGTTGCTTGAACAAAGAAGGCATCAAGTTGAAAGTCAGAGCAAAGTTTAAGGAAAAACGTTTTGATTAAGTTGGCTTCGTACACTGGTGTGCCTATAACATTAATAGTGACTTCTTTATTCTTTTTCTGTTTGTTCCCATGATGAAGGAATCATCTACATGCTGCAGGTCACATCTGTGTCCTTAAAGATGCTTTCATGTATGAAAGTCCAGCTGAAGTAGCAAACCTGACCTGCTCAGACAAGTTTGATGCAGCCCTGGCCATTCACCTCTATAAAGGAGGCAGACTGCTGCAAGGTAATCCTCCTTCTGCTTTGCAATAAAAATACCTGCCAGGAAAGTCCTGCCAGGGAAGAGAGTGAATCCTCACTGCCACAAATGGCTGGAAATGTGTAAACCCACAGAGAATATCCTCACTCTGTTTATCCACTTCAGCAAACGTTCAGGAATGCTAAAAACCCCTCTCAATGGGAGATCTGATAGAGAGAGAGAGCTAAATAAATGTACTTTTAAACCACATAGTGCTTCTGATAATTAAGTACTTTAACTCCATCAGGATGAGAGCATTACATGAACATCAGGATCCTTTCAGCAAATGTGTTCTTTCAGAGGACAATGGCTTGGCTAAGTAGAGCTGGGCTCAAATGGAAGAAAGCAGGGAGGCTAATTTGATTTTTCTGCTCAAAAATGAGTCAGGGTTTTCCGACGTGAAGCGCCATTCCTGTCAGCTAAACTGTCGGAGACAGGATGTTATCAGACAAAGAACAAAATCCTCTGTTCTCTCTAGCCACGTGGAACCAGTTTCCAGCCTGCCACTAATGATACACTGGAAGCACTGGGAATTACAGAAATTACAGGCAGGCGCCTGCTGGAACTGCAAGTGTGCATCCTGAGCTGAGAGCTGGGGGTGTCACAGGAACTGGGGGCTGCAACGGAGCTCTGCAATTCCCACTGCTGCCAGGGCCACTTCTGCTCCCTGCTCAGGCCTTCAGCAGTGCCCCCTTTGTCCTGGGATTGCAGACAGCCTGAGTTGGGCTGTCTGCCCTGCCTGGGGTTCTTGTGTTCCAGAGGGGCTCTGACTTCAGCAGGGACCTGAAACACAAATACAAAATAAGTCTGTGAAATGGGCTGTGCTCACACAGGGGTTAAGGCTTGCTGGAACATAGAGATGAGTGGTTTTGTGACAACAGCTTGAATTGGTTTGGAGGAGGCTTATGGCAAGTCTGAGCACCATCTTTTTTGGGGGGGATTTTTGCTGAGGAACAAAGGATAAAGTTGAATTTTAACTGTTTATTGGAGTAAGATTTTACTGGAGTTTAACTTCCATGGCAATGCCTGAATGCTGTTGTCTTTTCAAAGCCCCAAGTGACCTGTAAAGCCTGACACTTCACAAAACCCCAGGAATTTAAATAAATCAGTTACACTGTTCTAAATGTATGTGCAGTGACAGAAAGAAAAAGAAACCAAAAATCTCTGAAGGGCAGGACAGTGATAGTAAGATTGCTGAGGTGATTAAAGTGTAAAGGTTATTGCAGACTTCTGGGAGGAAAAAAGGGATTCAGAGAACATTCCTGGAATGTTTAGAGTCCTGGAACATTTAGAAATTTAGAGATTGCACTACCAGTGCTGCCACACTATTGATCTGTTTGGCCTCCTCCTGGAAATTCTGTTTACAGGATCAACACACGTACTGGATGACATAATAATTATTCACTTTTAAATTTATTGAAGAGGCAGTGCATGTTTTATGTGGTGTTGCAGACAGCCTGTCTCTGGAAGATCAGAGGCAGTGGGGCTGTGATAGTGCACATTAATTCCCTCCACCTGCAAACATTAGAGCAGAACATCAACAAATGCCAAGGAAATTCTCCAAGTAGCCAGGATGGTAATTAGTCTTTCATTCTTTTTGCTTGCTCTCTCATTTTAGTAATGAGGAAATGAGCAATGCTAATAAATCCTGATCTCACAGCTCACTTAACTTCCACACACAAATGTGAAATCTATGGTGCATTTTCTATCTTTATCAACAAACTTTGTTTCCCATTTGGTTTGGTGTCCTGTCAAAGTGCATAGTTATTGTGTGGGGGGTTACAGTGCTAAAAAATTAAAAATTCAGGTTTCCTTTTCAAAGGGTTTTGCTCAGATTGGTGATTCATTGTTATCAATGTCCTTTTTCACTCCTGCTCATTACATGGACACATTGGCCAAGTTCTCATTGCTTTGCAGGGAGCAGAATTCCTTTTGGAGTCATCTTTGGTGGGACAGATGTCAATGAAGATGTCAAATGTAAAGAGAAACGCCAGGTAATGGGAGCAGTGCTGGAGAAAGCCAGGTGAGAGCAGGGCTGGAAATGTCTGACAGGAAATTGCATTTTTGTGGGGCAGATCTGTTGGGAAGTTTTCCATGCTCTGGAGGGTGTGCAGGCAGCAGGCAGAGGCTGGGCTGCCTGAAATCCTTGTGGTCTTTAATGTTATTTGTGCTTCAGTGGTGGAAGTGCAGCAGTTTGATCAGAAATTGCAGCCTGTGTGCAGCCTGCTTGTTTTGGGTTTCCCTGCTCCTCACACACAGCTTGTTGACAGAATGCCTGCTTGAAAAGTGGATCCCTCTGGCACAAGCAGATTTTTGTTTTTTTTCTTTTCTTTTTTCCCCTGCTAATTTGATCCTGTCCCTGGCCCCATGAGCAAAGAAGCAGAGATGGGAAAAAAAGCCTTTAAGCAAATTTTCTCAGTTTTTAGGGGAAATGGCAGGGGAGTGTTTTCAGGTGTTTTAAAGTCTGGAAAGCTCTCATGACATGCCAGTGTAGTCATCAAATGTAGACCAAGAACTGATCATAAACCAGAGGAAATGACTAAAACTAACAAGACTTCTGATCATGCTTCATAGTTTCAACATCCCCAGAAAAGAAGTTTTCTCCTGACTGATCCAAAGGTTTGTTGACTTCAGCAGTGTTTGCTCACGGCCATGGTGGGGGAGGAAACCTTTTTGTTGTTGCAGACCCAGAGCAGGATGGGTTTGGGGCAGGCAGGATCTGTCTCCTGGTTCAGCCTTGCTGATACCACTCTATTTCCCAGCTGTTATTGGCTCACTTAACGCTGGCAGAGATGTGCTGCTCTGTCTGTAATCCCCTATAAAATGTGGTAAGTAAACAGATTTTAAAGGCAGCACTTAATCACACTCATTGAAAAATCATTAGGGCATGTTCTTGTGTCTCAGTGTGGCTTGGAGCTGAAAGCAACTTAAGGTTCCACTCAGGAAAAAAATTTATGTACTTGTTTACTTTTGTTATCAAATAATCAGAAGTTGTTCTTTAAACAGGTCTGAAGGAAAGGAAAAAGATACCTAATGTGTCAGATGGATTTCTGCAGTGTGCAAAATGAGAAATACATAGAAACAATCTCTGTGTCCATTTGAGCCATCTCTGTTTAAAATATCTTCTGTCACCAATACAGCTAATGCAAAAACTGCTTTACTGAATGTTTTCTGATGGTGTTGAGTTGGGAACCTGAGGTATGCCTTAATAGCTTGAATTATCTGTGCTATTTCAAAATGTATCACGACATCCCTGTGCAGTTTACAATGTTGTCTCTGCTACAGGAAAAGCATCTCATTTTTCTGGGGGTTGTTCTGGATGTACCTCTTCTCCAGTAGCATCACTGGCATTATTCATTGCAGAGTTATTAAAAGAAACATTGATTTTTTTTTTCCTTTATTGATTGCAGGGCTCTAAGCAGAAAGCATCATGAATTGTAGATTACTTGTCCAGTACAATATCCCCCCACATTCCATAAAACAAACTATTGAACACTGTCGAGCCTTATGAGTGTTTCATTTTTAATCAAATCCCTCTAAATGCTGCTTGTACCCCTCCAGGGTATTTTTTTTTCCTATTGAACAGTATTTTGTAGACTTGGAAGTGACATCTTTTTATGCTTGTTAATGTGATGCATTGAAAGGAAAATTGCAGAACGTGGGGAGGGAGCACGTGCAGCTTGACAAAGCAAGCATTTGAGGGGCTTTGATAACCTTAAAGCTGTCAGGCTGTGTGTGTGACACTCATTGGGGGGCAGATCCTGCAAAACAAATGTAGGGGAAATAAGGTTTGCTTCAACAAGCAAGAGTAGGAGCTATAATTCAGCATTTATGGGAATTCTCATTAATGGTTGTGGTGATTGTGACATAATCAAATTGTGACACATCTCCAGTGGAGAAGCTCTGTCCTGTGATGCTTTACCTGGGACCTTTAAGGTGTCAGAGGCTTGGCCCAGGACAGAAACATTTCAGAAACCACATGAAAAAGAAGCACTGACCCATCGGTGGGGTGTGTGATAACCTCTCTTTTACATTCAGTGTCTCCACAAGGAGGTAAAGCAGTTTTGCTCAGCAGTAGTGTCTGGTGTGAAGGAGCCATTCAAACATTGCTTTGCACAGGACTCAGGGGCTCCACTGAAGTTCCATTTCAGAGCACCCAAACCTGTGTTTGTGCTCCAGGACAATTTACAACTTCACTAAAATCCAGCCTGTTCTTGGGATCTCCCCTGAGCAGGGCTCTTCACTAACTCTGCAGGAAAACATCTCCCACAGCTTCTGTTTCACCCAGCTCCACTCAGGGTAACCTGGCTGTCCATGTGTTTGGAAATCACCTTTTCCTGGGACAGCCAGGAATGGGAACTGCTCCTGTCACACTGCCCGGGGCTCTGCTGTCCCTGCAGGGCTGCACAGGGACAGCCCAGCACTCCTTCCCAGGCTTTGTGACTCCTGAAGCTGGGGAACCTCGGGAGAGGTCTGAAATCCCCATCTGAATTAGGGTTTGTGACTCCTGAAGCTGGGGAACCCCAGGAGAGGTCTGAAATCCCCATCTGAATTAGGGTTTGTGACTCCTGAAGCTGGGGAACCCCAGGAGAGGTCTGAAATCCCCATCTGAATTAGGGTTTGTCACTCCTGAAGCTGTGGGAACCCCAGGAGAGGTCTGAAATCTCCATCTGAATTAGGGTTTGTGAGTCCTGAAGCTGGGGAACCCCAGGAGAGGTCTGAAATCCCCATCTGAATTAGGGTTTGTCACTCCTGAAGCTGTGGAACCCTGGGGGATAAGGTGGTGTTCCAGGGTGCCAGGATGTGGGAAAAGATGAGAATCTTGACTCCATGTTTCAGAAGGCTGATTTATTATATTATGATATATATTATGTTAAAATGCTATATGAAAACTATACTAAAAGAATAGAGAGAAAAGGATTTATCAGAAGGCTGGAAAGGACAGGAGAGGAGGAATAACAGAAGCTCCTGACTCCCAGAGTCCGATGCAGCTGCATCTTTGGTTGGTTATTAAGTAGAAATAATTGACATGGAGCAATGGAAGATGCACCTGTTGGTGAACAATGCCCAGAGCACATCCCACAGCCATCAGACTGTTCATTGTTTACATTCCTTTTCTGAGGCTTCTCAGGCAGAATAGGAGAAAACACCTAGCAAAGGATTTTTTGTAAAATACCACGGCTACAGGGCGAGGTCTGAAGCGTGCATGTGGGCGGCACTGGGGTGCAGACAGGGGCACTGGGGGTGCCCCAGCCCAGCCTGGCAGCAGGGGCAGCTCAAAGGCTCCTGCAGTGGGCAGGGGCAGCAGAGCCAGGCTCCTGCTGCAGCTGTGGCATTCCCTGACAGCTGTGCCTGGTGTTTGGGGTTCCTCTCTGGGGAATCCTCACTTCACCTTCCCCAGAGCTCTGGGTGCAAAGCCTCAGGAGCTGCTGATGGTTTAAGCAGGGTTTCTGCTGGAGCAAGGGGAAAGCCAGCTTTCTGCCCTTCAGCTGGATCAGCTTTGTAAGCCTCTGATCTTAGTTCTTATCAAGGTTTTTTTTTTTTTTTTTCTGAAGTACTCTTCCTGTTTAAACACTTTAAGCAGATGATCCCAACTATTTTTGTGCCTTTAACCAGGTTTGCAGTGGCTTTCACCGTGGAAATGAAGGAGCTGGCAGCAGCAGAGTGGGTATGTTTGTGGGATGGGGATGCTTACTGTGTTACAGACATGTGTGCTCTGAAATGTGCCCTAAATAGTGTGGAGAACTGCAATAATCTGCATTGTTCCCAGCCCTGCTTGTCCTTTCAGAGACAGCATTTCGTGTTGGTGTACAGTCAGAGCTCTGCCATTGAAAGCTGGGTTATTGTGGAGAGTGTGGAGCACTTTAGGAAATGTTTCTCTGTAACATTTAAATCATTTGTTGTTACCGAGTCTCTCCTGATGCCAAATTGTTTCTTTTGGCATCATTCACTAAACTTTACATTGACAAAATTCCTCCAGACAGCATTAGTTACAATACAGAAATATGACTTGAAAATACTTGTTTTGTCAACCTGGAAACAGAATGAAGTTCTTAGGGTGAGCTGCAGGGGTAAATTAGATTTTGTGTGCTGAGCTGCAGATCAGTGAGGGTGAGCAGGACCCATTTGGGGTGAAACCAGCAAGGCAGGACCCCCCTCCTGCAGGGAGGTGTTGGCTCCCCTCACCTGGCCCTGGGGAGCACCAGCTACAGCTGAGCAATTAATGCAAGGAGTTGAAACAAAGTGCCTGGCACCTCTTCAGTTCTAGCTTGCATCGTGGTGTAACCATTAATGCACTCTTGCCTCAGAAATAATCACTGAGAGTGGAGCTTGCACAGCCCAGCAGGAGGCCACACAACCCCTGATTTCGGCATTAATTGATTTTTAAAATCTGTTTGCATTAAAAGGATACGTGAGCAGACGTGGGATTTGGTATTTTCTTTTACAAATGTGATTTGGTTTTAATAGTTACTACAATGAACCTCACGATGGGTAAAAGGGAAAGGGCACAGCTTCTGTCAGAGATATGGAGCAAGAAAAGGACAAAAGTGTAAGGAGAAGAAAAAAAATGAGCTTTGAAATCCTTTCAGAACCAGCACCCCAAATGCTTTTAAGTGCCAGGCTTTGATGTTACCTGAGCACTTTTGCTTGGGGCTCCTGGGACTGATGCAGTGCTGTGGGGTGTGTGGCAGGCAGGGAGCTGGGGCAGACCTGCCACATCCCAAATTCAATCCAGCTGCTGCTGGGTCCAGCTGCTGAGGCTTCGAGCTGCTGCTCTTTGGGAATGCTCAGAGCAGCCCTGCTTGCAGGCAGGGAGGAGCAGGAGCACATCCTTCCACCGCAGCTCTGGGGAAATTGGTGGTTTTTATGAATTATCTCGCTCTGCTCCTGCTCTGGGGCTTCCTTAGTTCAGGTTGGCACCTGAGAATTTACACTGCAAACAGGCAACCCACTGCACTGCACCCAAAGGCTGTCTCTTCAACAAACTCTCTTCTCTTTCATTGGATAAATCACCCTTAATTGTGAAGTAATCCAGCCCTTGTAACCGTCTGTACTCCGGGTGGGTTTGAAGCACTGTAAAGGATCTCGTGCTTGTGGTCAGTGTTTTACTGCAGGAGCATAAAACTGGAGCAGAAGAATTGCCTGAGCCACTTTTATCAGCATTCCATTTCATTTTGCATTCTGCTCATCCCATTTAAAATAAAGAGCACAAGAGAAAACGGATCAGTGAGCACATCCCTGGGCCCTGTCCCAGTGCTCTGGGTTTCCTTTTGGAACCCCCAGGCTGGATTTGCTCCCCTGATCCTTCTGGAGTCCTGCAGGGCAGGAGCAAAGCTGCTGAACCTGAATTCTTGTGAAACGTGGTGTTTTTGGGGTGTGTGCCCCGGCAGGGGGAGGCAGGGCTGGGGCTCTGCCCCCCTGCTTTCCCCCCTCCTTTTTGCAGTTTTTCTCTGTTTTGCTCACTTTCTCTGCAGAGTTAACTCTGGAGCTGGCTCAGCTCACAGTGCTGTCCCATTGCTTGCAGGGGGTTTTTACCATTTTAGCATTTTTGTCGTGCTGGCTAATTCAAAATGTTAGTGAGAGAAGGTCCACTGTTCAGTGATAAAGTGATGTAATGACATGTTAAACTATTTTTAGTGTTTTTTAATCCTTTGAACACAAAAGCTCAAGAAAGATGAAGTCCATGGAATATCCCCAGGCTCCCACTGTAGCACAGAGTTGTTTCTTTCTCCCCCACTTCTTTCCCATGTGGATTTGCTGCTTTTTTGTGCAATTTTGGTGACATTGTTCACCCTGATTCTCAGCAACCACCTCCTTTCCATCTGTGAGCTGCTTGGAGATGACTTTTTAAGTGTCCTCTTTTCTCCCAGTTTCTTTCCCCAGTTCATTTTTAGTAACTGCAGTGCCTGGGCAGGGGACTGAGGGCAGCCACAAAGGAACAGCAGGGAAAACCAAAATCTCTGCAATTAAAAAAAAATCACTTCTGTGGCTTCCTATTTCCTGAGCTGACTGGTTCAAGAATTGAAGTTTGTTTCTGAATTGATTTTCTCTTCATTAAAAAAAAAAAAAAATGTATTCCACAAATCCATAGTTGGAGTTATAGGAAGATATTGAAATAGGAAATTGCCTCTTTCATCACCTAAATTAAATAACAGCACTTCAGGAGTGATTTTGGAGTGTGGTAATTACCTCTTTTACTACAGCTATTTTAAGGTAATTTACTTTGCAATTTTTGTTTGTGAAGGTTCTGCAATAGCTACCAGGCACCAGTTTTCCAGTCTAGGCAAGCCTTTATTTTTGACAGCAGTTTCTGAAACTGATATGTTTATAAATTGTATTATGGATAAATATAAACTGGATTTTCAAAACCAGCCTTCCAAGACCTGCAGCTTTTTGGGAACTAGAGCTGATTTTCAGCTAGACAGCTGAGATTTGTTTTATTCCAGAAAAACAGGGTCATGATCATAAGAAAGGATAGAGAGACGAACTAAAAAATTAATATTAACTTGGCAATTGTGTTTATTGAAAAATTGATTCATTGATACTGTAAATGGACACTGTAAATATAAATGACATTGTTGCCCTTTGGAGTTACTTAATGTATCTAATAGTAAGTTTTGATTTTTAATAGTCAAAAGAAACACACTGACATGTGTTTTGTTGCTCTTTATTGTGTTTTTGGGGTTTTTTTGAGGATTGAGCAGATATTTTTATGTTGAACTCAGAAAGTTTTTTTTCTTCTCCTTCTCTTTAAAGCCAGATGCCAGGAAGAAAATCTATGTGCAAAGTCAAGGTGAGACTTTGAGATACTGCTGAAGCCATCCCGTTTCTGACATTCCTGTGGCTGCTGCCTCCAGCCTTGTGCCCTGAGCTGGGCTGGGCTGGGCTGGGCTGGGCTGGGCTCTGCTGAGCTGGGCTGAACTGGGCTGGGCTGGGCTGAGCTGGGCTGGGCTGAACTGGGCTGGGCTGGGCTGGGCTGGGCTGGGCTGGGCTGAACTGGGCTGGGCTGAGCTGAGCTGGGCTCTGCTGGGCTGGGCTGAACTGGGCTGGGCTGAACTGGGCTGGGCTGGGCCGGGCTGGGCTGGGCTGAGCTGAGCTGAGCTGGACTGGACTGGGCTGGGCTGAGCTCCCCATCCATGAGAGCCACCCACCTCACCCGAGGTACATCCCTGACAGTCAGGGAGCACAGCTCACTATTTTAGGTGTGATCACTTCATTTCCCAATTTATTTAATTAAAAATACCTCTCTGTGGATTCCAGAACTCATTCCGTTGTGTGTATTTCACTTTCAAAGAAGGCAACATTCTTTTCCAGCCTGTGCTGTTGAAATAACTCATTGTGAAGGCTGTTCAGCCTATGTTTAGTTTATATTTAAGGCTCTTGAGGGGTAATAGTTAAATAAGTGATTAACTAAATTAATAAAATAGTTTCTTCATTAAAATAATTAATCTTTAACATAAGGAAAAACAAGTACATTAATATTCAGGACAGATTAATATTTAATTTGTGTATAAATCTAATTTACTTCCTTTCATGTTGAGGGCTCTGTGTCCCAGCTGCCCTGGATCTCTTTTGCTCCCTCAGGTGATGTTATCCTGGGCGTAGTTTTAGATTTTTTAAGTTTAGCAGGGTTGTGCTGCTGAAGAAGTTCAGTGGGTGGTTGTACAGAATTTCCCACTGAATTCCAGCCTGCTGTCTGTGGAAGGGAGCCTGGCATTGCTGGGTGGGGAGGGCTGCAGAGGGGACTCGGGGTGCCTGGCAGAAATATTGCTTTTTTGGACTTCCAGAAGCCTTCAGGAGCCACAGCTCGGCCATCCAGGGCACATTTAACATGGGGCTCTCTTTTTTTTTTACACAGGAATTAAGACTACACCCAGTGAAACATTTGACTGGTCCAGATTTCTACAAAATGCAGGTAAAACTCATTTCCCCCCTTTATTTACTGTGTTTGTTCCTGACAGGCGTCAAGGATGAAACAAACTTAGAGTTTAACTAATTATGCAATAAAGTGCTTTAATTGCATGGGAAGTGGCAGAATATCCATCAGATGAGCCTGGACCATCCAGCAGCCAGAGTGGCTCTGAATTCTGCTCTGGCAGGGTGAGCTGCACCAGGAGTGCTCCTAGATTGGGACAGTGTCCCTGGAGGAGCCCAGCAGAGCCCCTGACCCTTATCCTGTCCCAGATTGGGACAGTGTCCCTGGAGGAGCCCAGCAGGGCCCCTGACCCTGAGCTCTGTCCTGTCCCAGCTGGGGCAGTGTCCCTGGAGGAGCCCAGCAAATCCCCTGACCCTTATCCTGTCCCACATTGGGACAGTGTCCCTGGAGGAGCCCAGCAGAGCCCCTGACCCTGAGCTCTGTCCTGTCCCACACTGGGACAATGTCCCTGCAGCTCCATGAGCAGCCCCAGCAGGGCCAAATGGTCAAATACTGGAATCACCTGCCCATGGAAGTGGTGGAGTCACCATCCCTGGATGTGTTTAAAAAAAGACTGGATGTGGCACTTGGTGCCATGACCTAGCTGAGGTGTTAGAACATGGGTTGGACTCGATGATCTTAAAGGTCCCTTCCAACCTAGAAATTCTGTGTAATTCTGTGAGCTTTATCTGTCCCAGATTGGGACAGTGTCCCTGTAGGAGCCCAGCAGAGCCCCTGACCCCTATCCTGTCCCAGCTGGGGCAGTGTCCCTGGAGCAGCCCAGCAGATCCCATGGGCTCTATCCTGTCCCAGATTGGGGCAGTGTCCCTGCAGCTCCATGAGCAGCCCAGCAGATCCCATGGGCTCTATCCTGTCCCAGATTGGGGCAGTGTCCCTGCAGCTCCATGAGCAGCCCAGCAGATCCCCTGACCCTTATCCTGTCCCAGCTGGGGCTCCTGCAGCCCTCAGGGGGGAGAGGAGCTGCCTTTGGCTCTCTGGGCTGCAGCTGCAGCTCTGCTGCCACCAGAGCAGGGCCAGGGCAGGCAGGTGCCCTGATCCTGATCCTGGCAGTCTTTAACCACCCCATCTCTCCCCAAAAAGGTGATTTACAGGCACCTCAGCCCGGTGACAACGCTCCAGTGTGGCGTTGAGCAGCCTGCTCTGCGGTGTGCTGCTCCCGTGCTGCAGGGAACCCTCAGCTCCCAGGGGCTTCCTCCCATCAGGAGCTGTGTGCCTTCAGCCACAGCCAGTGCCAGCTGAATCTGAGCATCCTGGGGTTGGTGTGTGCTCAGAAAATCACAGCCCACGAGCACTGTGCCACTCGGATTAATAATGTTCTGAAGTGAGGTGGTTTGTCACTTGCTAGCACGGCCTTAGTGTTGATTTGATCTCTTGTCCATTTGGTGATTAAATCAGCAGTCAGCAGATTGAGGAGGGGGAAGCTCCCCCTGAAGTGAATTTCTAATGTATTAGAGACAGTTCTTTGCCTAATGTGTGCTAATGCAAAAGTGCAAAATAATTCATAATGCACATGGAAAGCAAAGTAAAATGTGACTCTAACATCTGTGCCTTATTATTTAATAACTTGAAAACGGGCATCAGATTATTCAGTATTGTTTTTATGACTGTTTCATCTCATTTATCTTCTCTGCCTGGTGCCTCTGTCCATCTCTGGTGGCAGCCTACAATTTCCACTTCTCTTAATATTGCACAGGGACTCAGGCTTTTGGCTGTACCTTTGTGCTTTCCAGGGACTAATTAGGGGTTCTCAGTGAATTGCTTTCTTCTGGGCATTCGCAGTTGCAAAGTGTTTAAAATTCTACTAAACTTGGAGCAATCAGGAGAAAACCCTGAGCACCAGGAGGCAGTTTGGCTCAGAGGGATGGGGTTTTGGCAGTGTGGGCTTGCACAGTGTGCACCTGGAGAGATGCTGAGCTTTAATGCACAGGGAGCTGCTCCAGCTCATGGCATTTGTGTTTCTTAATAGACTTTTTTCATGAAGTTCTGTTCCTTATTTAAAGGAACTTGATGGTTTTTTTGAGGAGAAATATTTCTCCTTGCCTGTATCTTTAGCAGAACCCTTGAGCATTTGTCAAATTCAGGATTCCCAGGGAAGAGCTCACACCCTGCAGTGCAGGTTTGAGTGCAGCTGAGGCACCTCTGCTAAACACCCTTGGTGTTCAGGGTGCAGGCTGTTCTCTCTAATGAAATTGGCTCTTCAGAGTGCTTCCAGACTTTCCTCCACAGAACAGATTTCCTATGAATATTCTCTGTACTGATGTTTTTTTCCAGTCAGAGATTTGCTCCCTGTAAAGATGACACCAACACATGAACAGCCTCTTTAAATCAATGTCATGGCTTCAAAAAGAATTTAGTGGTAGCTTTAAGTGAGTGGCAGAATGCACCAAATGCACTTTATGGTGGGAGACTTCCAGCCCCCAAATCTGAGTGGTGCTAAACCAAACTCTGAGGAACGCCAGCTCTGTGTGCACTGCCTTTGATAGTTTGGGTGCCAATGCAAACAGCAATTGCCTGGCACAAATGGAAGCAGTGAAAGGTTTTTGCTGTTATTATTATTATGGTGCAGCACAATCTCAGTACCAGAATCATGGAATTGAGATTTTTTCACAGTCTCAGCAGCAGACCTGGGAGCTGCAGAGGTGATGGTGTGGGGTTATTGCTGTCTCCTAGCTGCAGAACCTCCAGGGGCTGGCTAGCCAGCATTCACTGGCTAAATCTACCAAAAAAAGGGGCTTTTAGAGTTAATTTGCATTGTGGTTTACAGTCAGCTAACAGTTTGTGTGCTGTGGATGAGAGACTGGGCAGCAGTGGCACAGCAGCAAGCTGAATCAGGTTTCAGCTTCAGGAACACAACACCTTCAGCCTGCTTGGGCTCAGCCTGGTTTTGGAAGGTTTGCTGCCTGTGTCAGCCTGCAGGTCAGAGCAGATGATCAGACTGGTTTTGTCTGACCTTGCACTGCAGGGATCTACGTGCAGCACAATCCCTTTGGTGTTAGCAATGTTAGAATTGCTATCTATAGACTCGGGAGAGTCAGGGGAAGTTCAGCCTTGTGCTGGAAACACTGACAGAAAATGACAAGGCAGTTTAGGAAAATGAGAAACCTGAGGCTGATCTTCTCCAGCAGCTCAGGGCTGGGGCACAGCAGCTTCTGATCAGCCAGGCCTGAAGTCATCAGAGCAGGATGAAAAGCTGCTTTTGATTGCAGTGGGGCTGAGACCAGACCCCAACAAACACCATGTGATGAGAAGATGCAGATAACTCACAAAGCCTGCTCTAACAGAATGAGAAATCTTTGTTCAGCCAACAGCCAGGACTCAAAGCTGCTCCCGTGGTGGTGTGGAGCCACAGGGTCATCACATGCTTATTGCACCAGCAAATAAAACATGCAACATGTTTTATTTATATGCTTTTGTAGTTTGATTTTTCAGCTCTCCTGTCATTTCTGCTTCGTGGCAGGGCTGTTCTCTGAGCTTGAGAAGTTGACTTCACCTGCCATGGCACAGGCAGGGTTTACAGAGGCATTAGATTTTCCTGAAGCTATGCTGGAAAGAGAGACCCACAGAAGAAAAACTGAACAGTAAAAGTTTGTGCACTTATACAGCTGAGTGTAGTAAAAGGTGTATGATAGAGCAGTAAACCGAGTCCCCAACCTGATCTGGAAGTGCAGAGCTTTTCTGTTTGATCTGTTAGAAATAATGAGAAACAGGAGAGAAGAACTGATTGAGAATTTTGCAGTCTAATTTTTCTGGGTTAGTAGCCTGTCCCTGGAAGTTCACAGGTCCATTAACTCTGTGTCCTCCCCAGCAGAGACTCCCTGCAGGCTCTGAAGGGCAGGGTGAGCCCTGGGATGGAGCTCTGCCTGCACTGCCCTCCCTGCAGGGAGCAGACTGCTCTGGGAGGAGTGAATGCTTGAATAAATTCAGAATTGTGTGAGTGATCTGTCTGAGGGGACAGGAGCTGGGCTCCTGCAGGTCCGGGCTGTCAGCAGAGCTGGGGCAGGAGCTGCTGCTGCAGGGCTGCTCTGAGCCCTGGGCTCTGCAGCACAAACCCAACCCCAAACCCAACCCCAAAGCCAACCCCAGGGGCTGCAGGAGCTCGTGGAAGGATTTCCTCAGTGTGCAGGGAGATGAACTTCACAAAGGCCATGAACTGGAAGGGTTGCAGTATCAAAGATGGGTGCTGCAGCTGGACAAATTTATCTGTTTCCTGCTCAAGAAAATAAAATCATTGTCTTAAAGACTGAAAGCTCAGCCATAAACCTGTGGGTTTCCTTTCCAAGGACAGCAGGCAATGCTGTCAGGTGCTCAGGAGGTGGATAAATGGACGATTTTTCAAAAGACCTGCTGTGGTTCAAAGTGACCAGGAAAGAAAATAAGGTTATTTCCCCTCACCATCTCATCATGGCTTAGGTTTTGTTTCTGAACAAAGCCAGAAATGGACGAATAATCCTAAATAATGTGGACTTGGTGTTGTTCTCTGAAAGTCTGTAAAGCACAACAGTGAACTTGAAATCAGGGCTTGGAAAATTAATTTTTAAATCTTCTTTACCTCTCAGCAAGCTAATGCTTGGTATTACTCATTCACTTCCAGGCCCGCAGCCTTCAGTAAGATTAAAGATTTGCAGTAATACATTTATTTTTATTGTGCACCTATGACTGCTGCATTTTTTTTTTCCTGCTAGTACCTGGAGGGATGGAGTTAAATGAATCTGCACTTCCAAAATCTCTTTAGATAACACTTGTACTTATTCCTGCCTTTCTTAGAAAAACAATGTCCCTACTGAAGCTGCAGAAATGATTCAGGCTTTTGTGTTTGCTGCCTGTGCTGGTGTTTTGCTGGGCAGGTTTTTATAATGGCCCAAGGTGGAGTGTCAGTGTCAGAGCCTGTTCTCTGCAGGGCAGCAGGGGATGGCCTCAAGGGGAGGGGATGGCCTCAGGTTGTGCTGGGGGGCATCAGACTGGGGATCAGGAAAACTTCTTCTCCCTCAGGGGTGTCAGGAGTGGCACAGCTGCCCAGGGCAGGGGTGGCTTGGGGTGCCTGGAGGGGTCTGGAGGTGAGTGGTGGCCTTGGCTGGGCTGGTGGAGGTAGAGGGCTTTTTCCTGCCTGGATGGTTCCCTGCTGCTGTGCTCACACTGAAATACTTGCTGTGGTGAGCAGCTGCACTGGGCAATGCCCTCCTGATTTCCACTTGGAATGTCCCCATTCCCTCCTCTGCCTTGCACTGAAGGTTTTCCACTTTGAATATCCCCATTCCCTCCTCTGCCTTGCACTGAAGGTTTTCCACCTTTAATGGTCTCCATTCCCTCCTCTGCCTTGCACTGAAGGTTTTCCACCTTTAACAATGGTCTTCATTCCCTCCTCTGCCTGGCACCTGAAGGTTTTCCACTTGGAATGTCCCCATTCCCTCCTCTGCCTTGCACTGAAGGTTTTCCACCTTTAATGGTCTCCATTCTCTCATTCTGCCTTGCACTGAAGGTTTTCCACTTGGAATGTCCCCATTCTCTCTGCCTTGCATTGAAGGTTTTCCACTTTAATGGTCTCCATTCTCTCTGCCTTGCACTGAAGGTTTTCCACTTGGAATGTCCCCATTCCCTCCTCTGCCTTGCACTGAAGGCCTGAGAGCAGGGCAGCAGAAGCCAAAGGCAGTGCCACTGTTCATGGCAGCCCACCTGGCTGGGGAAGGCTGGCTGGACAAGGCAAGGTCTGACAGCTTTCCCTGGCCATGCCCTGCCTCAGCCAGCAGGAGAGCAGCACTCCTGAGGATCAGTGCCATGCCATGCCCTCGCCAGCAGCCGTGGTGCCAGGCTCGGTGCCCAGCAGCTGGGTGCCCCCTGACCTGCAGCTCCCCTGAGCTGTCAGGATTCAGCAGCACACAGCCCTCTGCCCCTCCACCAGCAGCACTGTGGGAGCCCCAGGCTCCCTGCAGCTCCTGTGTCACTGCCCCTGCTCCTGGGGACACCTGCAGAGGACAGCAGTGACATTTCACTGCTCCCCTGCCCTGCTGTGGCCAGAGTGCAGCTGTTTGTCAGAGATAAAGGCACCAGAGCCCAGCCTGACAGAGCCTGGCAGGTTTGTGTGCAGCAGCATCTCTGACTGGCTCCAAACAATTATTATTGCACTGACAGAGATGCTAATTACAGTGCCAGGGCTTGACTTGCATTCAGTGCAGAGTGAATCTTCAAGGATGGTGGAAAACACAAAGCATGCAGTCTTTTTTTAATTTTATTTTTTAATTGCCAGGGTTGATGTACAAATCCTTCCATTTTGTGTTTCTTTGTCAAGCAAACAGGAAGATACATGAGGGAAGAGCTAATGAAGCACAGTGTGCTATTGGAAATCTGCTTTTGTAGCACTAGCAGAAATGGGGAGGAAGAGACTCTAGCATTTTTTGTTATTTGGGTATTTGCCTGCCATTCAAACAGGACAGTGGTACATGGAATGTACTAAAAGAGAAAATCACTTGAGGGTGCCACACTGATGTGTTTCCATTTCACAATCACACCAGGTGATAATATCTAATAATATTACCTCTGCAAAAGGCACGGGGATAGCAAAAATTCACATGCTGCAGTCTTGTTTCAGCTGAAGGAAAAAGCAAAAAGGTCTTTTTCAAAGGGCAGTTTTCAGCCAGCTGTGGCTGTGGTGGGATGCAGCCCTTGCACCTCAGTGTCCTGGGAGGACAGAGGTGCTGGAATTGCTGCTTTCAGGGACAGATGGCTTTTGGTGGGTGGAGAAAGCACCAGGTGGGAAATCAGAGCTGCAGAGCTCCAACAAAACTAACTCCAAGTTTTGTTTCTAAACAGCCAGAGCTCAGCATCAATAAGTGTTGAGCCCATAATTTAAAATGGGTGTTTGTGCCTTGGGGGGTAGCTGCAGTGCAGTCTGAGTTGTGGTGACACTTTTTGGCAGTTTGTTTGTGTGAGTTTGTCACAAATGAAAGCACTGCTGCAGGTCTGTGCCCACCCAGTCCCAAGGGCCACTGCCCCAGAGGAATGGCTTCTCCAACCCAAATGTTTGGGTGTTATCAACTGCAAATGATTTATTGGTCCAATGACCAGTAAAGTGTTATTTACCAAGTCCCTGCAGCCACTTCTGGCACCTCAGGGCTGTTTAGGTTGGATGGAACACTCAGTAGGAACCCTGTGACAGGGAATTTCAATGCTCCTGAACGGGACTGAATTTTCAAAGCAGATTTGTGCCCTGCAGCCAGAGCCCTGCTGTGGCCCCCGCGGTGTCCCTGGTGTCCCCAGAGAGCTGGCAGAGCTGCCTGGGGCTGCCACTCGCTGTCCCCAGGAGCTCCCCAGGGGCTGAGCTGGGGGACACCAGGCTCCTTTGTTCAGTGTGGACCCTTCGAGCCCTCTAGTGTTTGTTGCTGCAGGTTGTCACTGGTGTTCATCAGCAGCTTTTGACTTGTGCTGTGTTATCAGATGTTTTAGCAGAGCTCATCCCGTGCTGAGCCTGTCCAGAGTGTCCTGGTCCTGCTCCAAGTGCAATGTCCCACAGCACACCTCCCTGTCCTGCCAAAGCTGCACCCTCCTGAGCTGCTGCTCTGTCTGTCCAAGAGGCTTTCCACGGGAAAAGCTCCCGTGTTGAGGTTTTGTCCCCCCCCAAGTTATTTTTCATCTGTGTTTTAGCAGTAAGTGCAAAATAAATGCTGGGCAAGAATTTCATTTCTAGTTATCTGCTCTGTAGCAGTGCTGGCGTGCAGGGTTGAGAACCCTGGGACATTCCCTGGTCTTTAACTAGAAAAAGTGTCAGATCAGGAGCTGAGACCTGCACTGATTAACCAAATCTCATATCTGGAAATAGGTGCTGAGTTATTAGATGGATGCAAAGTTCTTTTTAGGATAAAACCATTGAGAGCCACCTGGAGCTGCTCAGCTGCCAGGGCCCAAAGCTGTTCTGGGCTCCAGGAGCAGCTCCAGAGCTTCTCCAGGTCCTGCCCATTGCCTCTGCACAAACCCTGTGCTCTAGACATGATGTACATCCCCAGGATTGGGATTAGGATTGGGATTAGGATTGATGCAGAGCAGGAAACAGGGAATAATGGTAATTTCTCATGATCCACTCTTTGCTGCTTTTACCTTTGTGTGTGCTCGCTCATGGAGCAGTTTGGAGTGTTCAGGTTTGCAGCTGCCTCGCTGACCTTTGCAAACATTTCCCAGGCATTCCTGCAGCCACAGGCAGGGTGCAGCTGTTCCTCTTGGTGTGTGGGCTCCGGAGAGTCAAGGACCCTCTGTATTTAGTGGAAGCTTTCTCAGGTAAGCTCTGGCTGTTTGAATGTTCTTGTTTGTCACTCAATGCATTCTTCTAATGTTGATAAGTTGGGCATGAGCTGTTTTATTCATTGCAGGAAACATCATCATATATTTACATCTGAAAAAAGGAATTCTTATGTAACCACTGATCTGTTCAACACATTATTTCTGTGCCATGCCTTTTCCATCCTGCTGGGAATGACAGAGCATTCAAATCAAAGCAATATTTGATGGTTTTGCTTGCCGAGAAAACTGTTTTGCTGTTACATGCAATATTGATGGAAGACAAAAGAAAAGATCATCTACTTCAAAATAACTTTTTTATCTTGCTGTCCCGTGGCTGTTACATTGATTTGCATGTGTGCTAATTAATGCCATTGAAGCTGCAAACAAATTTTACCACCCATTGTTCTGGCTGAGCGCTCAGACGAGGCTGAAGTTTCCTCAGTCACAGAAGGGAATATTTTGTCAGGCTCTGTTTGTGTCTGTAAAAGGTTCAAGCATTTTGAGCTGGAAATTCAGCCTGCACTGTTCAAGTGATTTTTAAAACCCTAGAAGCCTTGTGATGCTGAGGAACAAATGCAGTGTGTAGTGAGTGCAGTGCTATATTCTGGGGTCAAAAAGCAGCAGATGTCTCTTGTGCCTATTACTGAGTAATGATTGTAATGGCTGCAGTTACTTCCACATGTTCCTTTACACAGGAAAATATTCAAGTAATTTTGGCTCAGTGGCCAGAATCACTGCATTATACAGAGCATTGTTCTCTTGAGTGATTCAAAATTAATATCTGAGCTTAGTTAAATAACCCTTGAGTCAGAAGAGATTGCATGAAGCAGAAAGGCTAAATACTAACTTTCAGATATGCTAATATTTGAATTCTGAGGAGCAGTGTGAAGGCTGAGCATGGAATCTGGTGCACAGTCAGTCTTTTAAGTAGCAACAGATTATTTGTCTAGTTCTTCTTTAATCACGGAGCTATTTACACTGATTTAAAAAGTGATAATTTTTATTAATAAAACAGTTGTTCCTCTTCTGTTTCAGACTGGCACAGAAAGGATCCCAGTGTCCATCTGGGCATTATCGGACCTGCAGTAAGTTGCTACTGTAATTTTCATTTCTAAACATTTGCATTTACCTGGTGTGAGATGGCTCAGCTCTCTCCAAACTGAGCCTGGCTCAGAGGATTTCTGTTGTATCTTGGGCTGGAAGTATCTTTTATACTAAAAACTACCTATACCATGTTTGCAGTCACTTTCCAATACCTGTCACCTGTGTTAGACAGTGACTTTTTACTCCAAACCAGTCTGTGAGTGCCAACACCATCCTGAACGTGGATGCCAGGGAGAAGGAAGAAGGAGGACAGGGCATGCCCAAATCCCTCCATCTCAGACCCCCTGACCCCCATCTGCAGAATCCAAACCACCCTGGACAGTGCTCCAAAATTTTTCCCTTCACCCTGTGATTGCTACTGCTGTGCTACTTAAACTTTTGTGACCTGTAATTCTTCATACAAAGTTGCTAATTTGCTCCATGGGTTGAGATCAAATTCCCAGGTGTCTTTGGCTTCCTACCAGGGCCTCTGAGCCCCTGCCAGGGCTTTGAGCCATCCAGGGCATCCAGAGGGATGTCCTGGGTTCCAGCATGTTGGAGATGAGAAGCCCCAGCCCCTGCAAAGGCTGCTCCCACCAGGGCTGAGCTGTGCCAGGGTTCAGAGGGCAGAGTTCCAAAGGTCAGGGCTGTCAGTGGAGGGGCTCCTGCACTCCCAGCCCCTCCCAGGCTTTGCCAGGAGCAGACCCTGAGCAGCCCAGCCCTGTTCCTCACTGCCTCACTCCACACAGGGAGGAGATCTGAGCAGAACATCATCGAAGTACCTGGATCCCACTCTTGGCCACTGTTGTTCCAGCTGTGGGGTTTTGGACACTCACACACTGCTAAATGTGTCCTCTTGCAAATCAAACATTAGCAATGCCCATTTCAATAGGAATAACCAAGAAAGGAGCCTATCCAATGTTGAAGGCAGCAGTTGCCATCTAGGGGAGCTCTTTTCCACAGGCATTGCTAAGGAGGATTTTAATGCTGTTGTCCCTGTTGTCACCTCCTGTTCCCCTGGAGCACGGGGTCCTTGTTCCATCCCATCTGGGCTTGGGTGCCACTGCTGGGCTCAGACACCTTTCACAGCTGCCAGCAGCTGCAAAATGAGGTTCAGCTCTGACACCAAGCAAGGACAGAGCTGAGCTCACACCCCCAGCCCAGCTCCTTTTCCATTTAGAATCTCAGCACTAAAACCTGGGATAAACTGATGTTTCTTATGCATCCCCATCTCAGAATAATCTCAAAGTTCTGCCTCTGTCCTGATTCTTCTGTGTGCTGCCCGTGTAACTTTGTGCTAAAGTTACAAAAGTAATGGCAGGGCTTTTGAGGAGGAAATCCATGTTCTCCAGGTGGATCCTGCAGCACAGGGCTTGGAGAGGCAGCCTGAAGCCTTGGATCAAGCAGGGCAAAGGCCTGAGGAGGCAGCTGTGCCATGTGAAACAAACTCTCACTGCTGCTTGAAGGGGGCTAAAAGCTTCCCTGGCTCATCTGGGTAATGTGTTCCCTCTGTATCAGTCTCATCTCTGATTCATCTCCACATGAGCCTCAAAACTTGCAGGCAATTTGCTTTACAAAAAAAACCAAATAGACTCTCAATGGGCAAATAAGAACAATTTCTCTCTTTTCCCATTCAGTTTTATTCCTTGCAAATTTGGGGACATAGGATTTTATTGTTAAAAGCTGGTTTTACATTTTTATTTTAGCTGGGCTTTTTTCCACGCTAATACACAAAATGATTTGGAAGTGAACTGGTGTGGAAGGCAAATCTGGAGCAGGTGTAATGAAGCTGTACTTCAGAGTCAAAAGATGCACTTGCTGCCTCCAGTGAGGATTTTATAAACATTTCAGTCGTCTTTTTAAATTTACTTCACTTTTCACAAGCTAATGTCTTTACAGACCAGAAATAACCCAGTGGCAGTGCAGGCTGGATCAAGGGCTGAACCTCCTTAAAACATTTTAGAGCATATTTCTCTCGTGGAACTAAAATATTTCTAAAGGAAAAAAATACATCTCAGCTCTGTTGGTATTTAGCTGTACTCCTCTTATTCACATTGCTTCTCAAACCACAAAAATCTTAAGAAAATCAGTGCCACCGTCCATGAAGCGTGTAATTTTTACTGTGAATATTAAAAGCCCGTACAGTACGAGTGTATTAATTAAGAAGAGAAAGAACAAAGGCCCCCACTCTATTTTCTGCTTTACTCCCATGAGGTGATATATTTGCTGCCTTGAGATTATATCCTGTTCCCTGTGTTTTCTGTGCATGCTTGTCTCAGATGGTGCACTCGAGGTAACGCTGCAGGATTGAGGCCTGTGTTATGTAAAACTTTCACCATTGCAGCTTTCCTTTTGTTCATGTCTAGAATGAAATTTGGAACAGCAGCTAATTTTCAGCAGCTCCACATTCCAAGAATAGGAGCTTATGAAACTTAAAAAAAAAAGTTATTTTATTTTATTTTAAAGTTTTGTTTAAAGCATTCAGCTTCCTCTCAGAGCTCCTTCTGGGTTTTTGGCATGGCTGTAGGCACTCAGAGCTCCATCACAGCCCCTGGGGTCTGGGGTCACCTGGGCTGGGAGGGAAGGGGGCTCCTTTCCCAGGGGTGCTGCCAAAACTCAGAAACCTGGGAAATGAGGAAATTGTCCCTCTCCACTTGGAGCTCTGTTCTTTGTGTCTAGCTAAGGATTTTCAAGTTCTGTTTATTCCTTTTAATCATGCTAAATGGAAACAGCAGACAGAGCAAAGCCTGGTAAATAAACCTACTGAGTTAATCACCCAGCTTAGACAACTTCAGCAACAGAGGCATGCCTTCATCTTTTCCTGGGGCTGGGAATCGTGATTGTTATTTACTGGGATTAGGAATTTTGTGCTTGTTTTTTACTGGGATTGGGAATTTTATGTTTGTTGTTTACTGGGATTGGGAATTTTGTGCTTATTTTTTACTGTGATTGGGAATTTTGTGTTTATTGTTTACTGGGGCTAGGAATTGTGTTTGTTGTTTACTGGAGCTGGGAATTTTGGTTTTGTTTTTTACTGGGGTTGGGAATTTTGTTTTTGTTATTTACTGGGGCTGGGAATTTTGTGGGTTTTTTTTCTGGGGCTGGGAATTTTGTTTTTGTTTTTTACTGGGGTTAGAATTTTGTGTTATTAGATTTCCAAGAGGTCTTTCTGCCAGAGCCCAGCATCCATGTGAGTGCCTCAGTTTACTCCAGGCTGCTTCCTGAGCTCCCCAAGGCCCATTTTTACCCAGGGAATACAGGGACAGTCCCTGGGCACAGCCCTGCCCTGCCCTCACTCACATGGGGTTGTCACACCAGAACTGAGTAGCAGACCTGTGGGATGATTTTAAAGCTCAGCATTTAAAATATTTGAGATGAAAATGTGCTAAATGTGTTGATTTCTGTGGGGGTTTCAAGCACGAGCTGCAGTGCCCTGAGCTCTGTGTGTGCTCCTGCCCAGGTGGATCCACTTTTCAGCAGTGAAGTTGAGGACAGAGTTAAAAGGTAAGAAGTTCATGTTGAGCCTGCTCTCTGCCCCTTTTGAATTGTGTATTTCCAAAGGAATGTCCCTGCACAGCTGTGTGAGGCTGACAGGGCTGCTGGGATCATTTGGCAGGAACGTCTCAGACCTGCCATTCCAGACACTAGAATGACAGTACATTGATGGTTTGGGTTAAATCACACCTGATTGACTCTGATTTATTAGTGACAGAACCGTGGGAGGGTTTGGGTTGGCTGCAGGATGCCCCAGTTCCACCCTCCCAGCCATGGGCAGGGACAGCCCCAAGCCCTGGGCACAGCCAGGGTGGGACAGCCCCATGGATGGCCCTGGGCACAGCCAGGGTGGGACAGCCCTGAGCACTGGGCACAGCCAGGGTGGGACAGCCAATGCCCTGGGCACAGCCAGGGTGGGACAGCCCTGAGCCCTGGGCACAGCCAGGGTGGGACACCCCACGGCCCCCAGGGCTGGCACACCCAGTGCCCGTTCCAGCCCCGTCCCAGGGAGGATCCAGCCCTCTCTGGGTCTCTGCCTGCCCTGTCCCTGCTGCTCATCTGGTGTGTCCTGCAGGGCCCCCGGGGTGCACGTGCTGCAGGAGCTGCCCCAGCAGGAGCTGCACGCTGCCCTCAGGAGCTGCCTGGCCCTGGTGAACAGCTCCATCTCCGAGGGCATGTCTGCTGCCATCCTGGAGGTAATGCCACCCCCTGGGGGTGCTCAGGGGGGTTCCCTCCACCCGAGAGCACCTCCTGTCCCTGGAAATGGCTGTCAGCCTTTCATGGCCATATTTCAAAGCTAGTGAAGGCAAAACTTTTAAAGTATTCCTTTTTTCAAGTGTCAGCAATTAAGGTTTTCTTCCCTTGAACTGACAGTTTGTTATGCTTTCTCTATTTATTTTTAAAGGATAGAAAGTAATTTTATCAACCCTGCTAAATTAACGGCGCAGACCTGAGATGCAGAAATCAGTCTGATTTCCCGGGGTTGTCACTAGGCTTGATTCAACACCCACCTCCTTATAATGTTGCTAGAATGGACTTTCATTTATTTTTACATCCCTTCAAAAAGCAATCTAAGAGCTGTACTTGGTTATTTAATTCTGAAATGATTAATGAATGAATGACACGCTCAGTTAATCCTTTTGCCATCAGTATTGAAAATTAATAACCAGTTTTATTTCATACCTGTCAAAGCAGGGCACTGCTTAGTGTCAAGTGCTTTCTCAGAAAAAAAAATAAGTGTACCTGAAGGGGAAGTTCTTTGGGTAAATGCCTTTCATTGTTTCACTTGCTTGGTGGGTGCTGAGTGTTGGTGCACCGTGACCACAGAAATCATCACACCATTTGTACACAGTTGTGTAACAGAAATGAGCCTCCCTTCTGTTTCTGATGAGCTGCACTCCCACTCATCTGGGAGAAAGGACCAAGGGAGCGTGGCAAGAATGAGGAGGGGCAGTGCTGCTGAGACAGCAGCTGTGCATGTCCACCCCAAAATAGCACAGCAGTGCATGTCCACCCCAAAATAGCACAGCAGTGCATGTCCACCCCAAAGTGCCACAGCAGCCTTGGTGCACATTCCAGAGGGTTTGGGATTTGTCTGCACAGTGCATTTGAGACATGCTAACAAAGCACCCTGCTGGGAACACCTCTCTCCCTGGAAGTGGCAGTCCAGGACAGAGAAGTTCTTTCCTGGGATGGCCAGCAGCAGGAAGGGCCATCTGCTGAGTTATCCATATAATTATCTATATTGTTAGATAATAAGGCAGAAAACTCTGCATGAAAATCTTCCAGTCCTAGGCTGGAGAAAACAGGCTGGAGTTTGGAAATGCAGCTCTGATTGTCCTCAAAGTTCAACGTTTAACAAGGACACGAATCTGTAAACAGTATTTCAGAGTGAGATAAATATATCATAGATAAATGAGATAAATATGTAATCCCATCTAGTTCCACCTGCCTGGAGGTCTGGAAGAGCCAGGAGCCGTCACTAATTGCTCTGTCAGCTGGTTCTGAGATCTCTGAGATTTGACTGTAACTGATCTGTTTGTGTTTGGCATTTGAAGAAGAGAAAACAAATCATTAGAGCAGACATTAAAAATGCATCTCTGCTCTGAGAGCTCAGGAGCTGTGCAGTGGTGGGAGAGGCTCCACTGCTGAAAGGTTTCTGTGTTCCCTCTGTTCCTGCTACCAGCAGGCTTTGGACTCCAGCACCCTTCCACTGCAGCCCTTTTCTGTGCTCTCAGGAATATTCCAGCTGCTGTAAAAACTGTCACATTCTTATGCTTTTACCAGAAAGAAGCCAATTTAAAATTGTAGAAAAAGAAGCTGGACAGACTCTGCTGTGCTGTGAGGCACAATCCAGTCTTGCTCAACATGTGCAGCACCAGCAGCCTGGAATAACAGCCAGAGCAAATGATAAAAGTAAAAAAAACTAGAGATGAAGGGATGTTGTAAAGCAATAAAACTGAAGAGCCAACAAGAAGATGCATAGGCTAGAAGGAAGGAAATGAGGGACAGTCCAGAAGCCAGAGTGGTAAATAAAGCCTGCACTTGCTCTAGCAGCCCTGCATTGCTTGTTGGGGAACATCCACAGCTTCAGTTTGCAGCCTGCATCCTCCTGCAGCAGCAGCAAGACACATCTGCAGCCAAAATAATGGAACAAAACAGATGGCCAGGGGACTAAAATGTTGCTTGATGCTATTATTCCTGGAAGCTAGGTCAGTAAATTATACATATTTTCAACAATGCAAATGGTTCTTTTTACTGCTTGAAAATTGTCTAAGTATCTAAATTAAATTTGAAGCCACTTCTTGCAGTAATTATTTACAGCCCAATCCATTTGGCTGAGGCCAGTGGCATCAAGGCAGCCCTGCATCTGAAGCACTTGGCCATCTGTTCTGCCTCTCAGCAGCTATAATTCATTGGTACCTGGGACCTGAAGATTTTCTTGTGTAGCAGTTCCTGCCCTCCAAGTCACACAGAACAAATGTCTTTCCCTTTAGAGTCTGGAAATGACAGAAAATTAAATATAAACTTGGTGCTCAGCTTCAATCAATCACCAGCTCTGGAGCTTCATTCTGTGTGTGAGTGACCCCAGATAATCTGGAGGTTTCTGATACAAAGTGCAGAACAGGTTTTGTCATTAAGGGTTGTTATTTTTAGCACTAACTGCTGCAAAGCAGATGTTTGTGCCAGGGCTATGGAAATGCCATGGTCAGACCAATACACCTGCAGTGCTGATTTAAACAGTGCTTTTCTTGGCTATTTTAAATTATTAAAATATGTTGCTAAGTCCAAGCAGTCCCTTCCTGTACCTCATCAGCCTGGCTATTTGTCTCTTCAGTTTTGTACAAAATATAAAAAATCACGGTTTTCTCCTTGGAGTTTTGTTTCCTCGCTGTGTGGACTGAAGCAGAATTGCTCCTCATGCAGGACTGTAATGACAGCAATTAAAACTGCACTGACTCTGGAGTGACAGGGAATCAGCATGAAACAGATTTGGGGGAGGGAATCTCCTCATTATTCGACAGGGTGATAATTGCACGTGTGAGTATTTCTGCTGGCACAGTCAGTGCATCTCCAGGCTCCCCGGTTCACCAGCAGGGGTTAATCCTCAGATGCAGAGAGCAGAGCTGGGGGTCCCGGGTCTGCACCCCTCAGGGCTGCAGTGTGTTCTGTCAAGGGGCTTGGCAGAGCTCTGAAACTGAAAATTTTTAATTTTTCACTTAAAAATCTGGAGAGGTGGGAAAGAAGTTGGGGTCGTTTCTGCTTTTCTTATTAAAATCGTCATTGTTAGCACCTCAAAATCCACAAATCCTTAGAAACTCTTTCCTTTTTCTGTATTCCTCTAGGCAATGGACTTAGAAATTCCAGTGCTGGCAAGGAACATTCCTGGGAACGCAGCAATAATAAAGCACAAGGAAACAGGGCTGCTCTTTTCAACCCCCCAGGTAAGAAACCCAGCCACCCCCGGGTGCCCTTTGTGCCCCAGGCCTGGCTCTGCGGGGTCCCTGGGGTCCCTGGGGTCCCGGGGTCCCCTCCTGCAGCCGGCTCTGCTCCCCTCTGCAGTTCAGGCAGCTCGTACTAGGTGTCAGCCTTGTGAAGCTTTCCATGAGCTCCCACTTGTTGCTTTGGAGGTTCCATACCCAAACCCTGCAGAGATGCTCGGGGTGCTCACATTTCCCTTGTTCACAAATTCCTGCAACAGGAATTTGTGTCAGACAAGCTGGAGCTCGGCAGGAGAACGAGCCTGGAGTCTCAGGTGACACGTTTGCTGTCATTTCTGCAGTCAGTGCTAATGTAAAGTATTTTTAGAGGCAAGATATTGCTCACTCAGAGAAATTAATGATAAAATTAAGCGAAGTGTTAGGACGAAGTCTCAGGGAAGTTAAATAAGAGTGGGAAGAGAGGGAACACTACCCATATTTAAATGCTGGAAATGTTCATTTCAGCATATTTTCCTGCATTAGGGCTTTGCTGTTACATATCCCTGTATGCCATGGAAAATGGTCTCAGAAAAAGATTCCCTCAGAGTTTTATCCAACTCAAGATTAAAAAAGCGTACTGGGATAGCCATGGAAAATGGTCTCAGAAAAAGATTCCCTCAGAGTTTTATCCAACTCAAAAAAGCATCCTGGGATGCACCATTTGATAATTTTGCAAAGTAGAGAACGTATCTTATTTATTTACTTTGTGGACTGTGTGATTAATGCATTATGTGATTATTTACTTTGTGGACTGTGTGACTGTGTGATTAATCCTATCAAGTTGTGTTTCTGGAAGGTGAATCCTCTTGCTTGGTTTTGAAGAAGATTTTAATAGAAAAACCCTTCCAATTCAAGTATGGTTCTGTTTGTTCCTGGAATATTCAGTTTTTCCAGTGGTATCTAAAAAACCCCAAATATTTCTTTGATAACTTTTGTACATGTATTCCCTGAATAAAAATCTCACTGCCTTCCAGCTCCTCCAAAACTTGCAGGACACACAAGCCTATTGAACAGGGAGAGCTCTCTGGTGTCAGTGCTGGTGCATTCTGCTGTTTCCTCAGCCTTGGCATTCCAATGCATGATTAAACCAGGCCCAGTCTCATCACACATCCCTGCAGGAGCCTCTCCTGTGGTCTCCAGGCACCCCTTCCTTCCAGGGGTGGGATTTTATTTGGGACCTGAGATCCAGTAAGACGCTGCAGCCAGGGGCTCACATTTCCCCCAGTGCCCTCAGGACTCTGGGCAAAGGGCTGAGGACTGCAGGACCCTCTGAGAGCAGGGCAGGAGTCCCAGGCTGCCAGGAGCCCCTGGCTGCAGCGTCTTACTGGGCAAAGGGCTGAGGACTGCAGGAGCCTCTGAGAGCAGGGCAGGAGTCCCAGGCTGCCAGGATGTCCAGACCACTGTCATTTCACTTTCTGTGAACCCCTTCTAGCCTGAGCTGCCTTCCCTGCGCTGTGCCATGCAGAGATCTGAACCCCATCCTGCTGCTGCTCCTTTTTGCTGTTTTTCTAGCTCAGAATCTCTTTGGGGTGAGGACTGCAGCACCATTTACCTGTGAGCTTGCAGGTGAGACGTTTTGTAGTGGAATCAGCCAAGTTTGTGCAGCACCCAGAGGAGGGAAGGTGACATCCCCGTTTCTGCAAAGCAGCACCTGCAGCTCAGGCAGTGAAAGCCCCTTCATGATTTATTGCTGTCACACGAGGTGTGAACTGTCAGAGGCTGGGAATGGTCAGGAAAAGCCTTGTTTGCAGGGGAATGCCCTAATCCCACTGCAGGGCTGCTGAACTTTCTTCATGCAGAGGAGCTCAGGATGCCAACCTCAGCACTCAGGGGTTTGGAGATAAAGTGACCCTTTACTCGTGTTCCTTAGCTCCCCAAACCATGTCAAATACAGTTTTAAGCCACTGCACACAGTCTGCCAGAGGTTGAGAGTCACATTAGATCAAATAAATGCAATTAAGTTTGAAGACATTTTAATTGTTGGGACAAGGGACAGTGCCCATGGCACTTAGATTGTGACCTCAGAAGATTGGTCTGAGTGAGCTGGGACTGGAAAATGTTCTGCTAAGTAATTTTTTGGGATTTTTTTACTTTGACTACTTTGACACCTTAAGTATCTTTTTTGGTGTGCCCTCAAATGCATCAAGTTAGTGAGGAAAATGTCTTTAATCTACAAAAAAGATCAGAATTTTGTCTAGGTGCTTGGGAGAATCTGTCAAGTCTGTCTGGCTGGAAGAATCTGGACCACCAAAGCTGAGGAAAGTCTGGTGGATTAGAAAAGGAATTTTCCTTGCTGAGTTTGGTGGATCCTGTCTGGTTGTGAGGACACAGGCTGGGTCACAGCCCAGGACAGAAAGTATTGCTTATTTTCAGTTGTTTCTGATCTGAGCAGGGAAAGCTTTGCAGTACCTTGGGTAGGAGCAGTTGTGCCTGCTCTCTTTTGAAAGCAAATTAGAGGGATATTAATTGAGCATTACGCAGTGAGAATTGTTTTAAATGGGGAGTGCTGCTTGCTTTCTTCTTGCTGGAAGTGAGCTTTTGTGGCTTCCAGGAAAGCAGGAAATGTTGTGTCTCGTTGTAGGCATCCTTAACCATTTGCATTTGGCTGGAAATAGCAAAAGCCCTGCCAGTCATGGAGCCAGCACCCAGATGGAAAGAGTTAATCTGGAGGGAAAGCCCCGGAACGTTTTGTCCCTGACACTCCATCATTTGTGCACATTTCTGTGCACATCACTCTTAAATCATGGGCTGATCCTGCTGCTGCTTGAATTTGCAAGTTTATGGAATATTTGACACCGAGTTAATGGGACCTGAAGTAAAAAAAAAGTAAGAGATAAAACGGGGCAATAAATAATGCAAAGCTGTGTTAAAAGGGAAGGCACAAAAAGTTATTCAGCAGGCTGGGCTTCAGAATTCTATATCTTCCATGTCTGTAAGAGCTCACAGAAGGACCTAAACAAAGAGAAGGAGGCCAATAAAGGCACTAGGAAGGGACAGAGGTGGATGGAGCTGAGCTGGGCAGCCCCTGTGAGGGTTTGGAGGGCTGGCAGCAGCCCAGGGCTCCAGAGCTGTGCCCCTAGCCCAGAGCAAACCCAGGGCAGCACTGCCTGCACAGCTGGGGCCAGGGCTGCTGCTTGAGAATCCCCTCCTTCTGTCTGCTGAAGCTGCTCTGAACTGCTTTAACTGCAGTCTTATTTTCGTTATATAAATGATGCATTAACCATGCATCTTATTTTCATTATGTGTGAGCTGTGGCACCGGTGCAGCTCTCGTGGTAATTGAGGAATCCTTCATCCTTTTTTCCTCAGTGCCCTCATTTTCCAGCTTTATCTCCTGGATACCTGTGTTCCTGTGTCTCTGCAAAATATTACACAGGATTTATTTTAGGTACTACACAGAGGAGTTGACATTTTCTTTAGGGATGACTGGTCAATTTAGCAGGAGAAAAGTGTATTATGGATGTTGCTGTTGAAAAAGGCAGGTGGCTTTGTGGTGGAGCACTTCCATGGAAAGGGCAGGTGTGAGAGTGCTTCTGGGTGTACAGGAGATGGTTTGGCCCCATTTCTCTGGGTTGTGACTCACAGCTGAGCCTTGCACTGTGTTCTGCTGCCACCTGCACAGATATATTTTTATATATATATAAAAAATATATTATATATTATTATATATTAATATATATATTTCATATATATATATATTTAAATATATCTATATCATATCCCCTCCTGGGTGGGAATAAAGGTTTGTTGGAAGGATTTGCCCCAAGTAGTCAGCTGGCACAGAGATCACCTCCTTCACCTGGGCTGCTGAAGTCATGCCCTTAGCTTCTATAACTGAAAGGCAATTTGGGAATTTGACCCCTCTCACCAAAACTGCAGCTACAACAAAATAAGGGAGAGCATAAATATTTGTGCAAATGTCACAGATACAGCTGCTGCAGATGTGGTACTTCCCTGCAGTTACTTTACACACCACAGGCTTCTGGAAGAGCAAAGTGGAATGCTGCATTTCCTGCAGGAGCTCAGTTCTGGATGTCTGCATGCTGCAAGGGCAGCCTTGGCACAAACCACAGCTGAAATCCACTCACCTGTGGTCAGGGGAGACACCTGAGAGATGAACTGTGCTGTCTGGAGCTGAGCACCCAGAGCCAGGCAGCTGCTCGAGGTACGAGGCAAACCCAGATGAATTTTCCCATTGGCTCTGGGGATTGCAGGTGCTTGGGGGGTCACACTGGAGGAGGAGGAGGAGGAGGAGGAGGAGGATGCAGCTGAGCAGTCCTTGCTCACCACCTCCTGGTATTTTTCCATTTGCTTCTTCTCTCTCCTCCATTTTCTCAAATTTTATGCTTTGGACTCAGTTTGGCATTTTTTCCTGAAATTATCCTCAGCCCTGAGTATTGTAACTGTGAGTAAGGATCTCATTTCTTCTATCATTTACATGTTTCCAAGTTTTTGTCCTCCGTATCCACAATTTAAAAGAATGCTAATAGGACTACCTGTCAAGAAATGTTACATTGCTGCTTCTGCTCGTAGGTAATTTACATAAATTACTTTTAAACATTACTTTAAATAAAATCCTCCACAGGAGCATAAAATTAAAGTTGGGGATGTGGTTCAGTGTGAACAGTATTTATTACTGTGATTTTCCAGGCAATTGGATGAAGGCAGCAGCAGGACTCAGGTGAGCCTTTCCCACCTTCCCTGTGGAGCTGGGTCAGCTCTGACAGAGCCTGGGAAGTGCCAGGGAAGGGCTGAAATCCCAGCTGAAGCCCCAGGAGCTGTGGGTGGGAGAGGCTGGACACAGCCCCTGGCTCCTCCAGGGCTCAGCCCTGCTCTGGTGTACAGTGAGAGGTCACTGCTCACTTGTGTGCATGAAAATCTCCTTATTCTCTCACCTGGCCACAAACCTTTGCACAGCAGTGCTCTGTGGCTCTGGCTGTTGGATTTTCCTGCTGATTGTCCTGCAGGAACAGCCCAAGCAGTGCTGGTGCCCTGTTCAGTGATTTCCCCATCACTGTGGCCCAGGTCTCACACTGCCTTGTGCATTGTGCACTGAGCAGCAAAGCTCATCCAAAAACCCCAAAGTTCAACCAAAGATCTTACAGCTGTGGAGGAGTTCAGACACTCTGTGTGCTTAGATTTTCAAGGACAGTTGTCTCCTTATCCTGACGTTGATATGAACTCTGTTCTCAGCTGACAGACTGTAAATAATGTAAATAATGGATCTCCTCCTCCCATCCCCTCTGTGCCCTGTCCCCCTGCACTGAGCTGCACTACCAGTTGTGTGGTAATACATTATCTGAATTTCCCACTGACACCAGAGCTGTGTGCTTTCCTGAGCTGAACCAAGGCCCTGCTCTGCACACATCTGAGCACATCTGTAATCCAGCTGAAGCACTGGAAGCTGTCTCTGGATGGAAAATGAGAGCAGCTGCTCAGAACAGATTAGCTCAGACATCAGATCTCCTTTCACGTGTTTGAAGCTCACAATTTCTCTTGCCCAGAAGCAAATGAGAGGCAGAGGAGCAGGCAGAGGACAGTTGTGATCTTGGAGCTCTGGTATTTTGCCCAGTGAAGTTAAAGGGAATATGTGGGGGGTTTTTGGTGCTTGTTGAGCTAACCCTGCTCTATCTGTACCTGCCCAGGTGCTGCATGCCTGCTCCTATCTCACACTGGGTTTGTGTTTTTTAGTTTTACCATAAAATTCTGAAGGTGCAGCAGCAATGAGGTGAAAGTTTAGCTGAGCTGAGATCAAGCATCTGATGCCAGTTGTCCTCCGTGCAGAACAGACAATTCATTTATAACCAGCCTGGCTTTCCAACCACTGGGCAGGCAGGCCATTTTTGTGTCATTAAATGTGAATTGTCTTTGATTTTTATTGTCTTAGTTGGTGGACTGTGTAAAATAATAATTTTATTATTTATTGGTCATTTTTATAAATAAAGTATGGTATTTGACCTTGAGAAATTCCTTAGGACAGCTTCATCCAGTGGCTCACAGTTGGACAGGTACCAGCTATTGCACTATCATCAGGACCTTTTCAAAGAAATTGGAACTGATTCTTTTTTTCATCTTTTTTAGGAGTTTGTTGCGCTGTCCAAGAGTTTAATGAACGACCCCATTATGGAAAAGGAAATTGTAACCAGGGCCAAAGACTACGTGAAGAAGCATCATTCCTGGGAAGGGGAAAGGAAAACCTACCAGAATCTTGTGCAGAGACTCCAGTGACTTGGCAGGCTCCAGCTGAGAGCCAGCAGAGCACTTTAATGATGGAAATGTGATTAGCTTTGGGTTTCTCTTGGGTTCTTCCTAGAAAAATAGTCAGACACTGTTATTGTGTTTGAACAGCCCCGAGCACAGGGCCCAGAGCAGGCTCAGTTTGGGGCAGCAGGAGGGAGGCAGCCCTGGAGCAGGTGCCAGCTGCTCTGAGGCTCCCAGGGCAGGCCAGTCCTGTTCTGGACCCCAACCCCTGCAGCACAGCTCCCTCCCCACTGCCAGCCCCTGGGCACCTGCAGTGCACACCCACACCTGCTGCTACAGCCAGGCAGAGGGGGAATCACTGAGCCCAGAGCCTGCACAAGCACAGGGATCAAGCACTGACCCCAGAGCTTGCAGCAGCACAGGGATCAGTGACTGACCCCAGAGCCTGCCCAAGCACAGGGATCAAGCACTGACCCCAGAGCTTGCAGCAGCACAGGGATCAGTGACTGACCCCAGAGCCTGCCCAAGCACAGGGATCAAGCACTGACCCCAGAGCTTGCAGCAGCACAGGGATCAGTGACTGACCCCAGAGCCTGCCCAAGCACAGGGATCAAGCACTGACCCCAGAGCTTGCAGCAGCACAGGGATCAGTGACTGACCCCAGAGCCTGCCCAAGCACAGGGATCAAGCACTGACCCCAGAGCTTGCAGCAGCACAGGGATCAGTGACTGACCCCAGAGCCTGCCCAAGCACAGGGATCAAGCACTGACCCCAGAGCTTGCAGCAGCACAGGGATCAGTGACTGACCCCAGAGCCTGCCCAAGCACAGGGATCAAGCACTGACCCCAGAGCTTGCAGCAGCACAGGGATCAGTGACTGACCCCAGAGCCTGCCCAAGCACAGGGATCAAGCACTGACCCCAGAGCTTGCAGCAGCACAGGGATCAGTGACTGACCCCAGAGCCTGCCCAAGCACAGGGATCAAGCACTGACCCCAGAGCTTGCAGCAGCACAGGGATCAGTGACTGACCCCAGAGCCTGCCCAAGCACAGGGATCAAGCACTGACCCCAGAGCTTGCAGCAGCACAGGGATCAGTGACTGACCCCAGAGCCTGCCCAAGCACAGGGATCAAGCACTGACCCCAGAGCTTGCAGCAGCACAGGGATCAGTGACTGACCCCAGAGCCTGCCCAAGCACAGGGATCAAGCACTGACCCCAGAGCTTGCAGCAGCACAGGGATCAGTGACTGACCCCAGAGCCTGCCCAAGCACAGGGATCAAGCACTGACCCCAGAGCTTGCAGCAGCACAGGGATCAGTGACTGACCCCAGAGCCTGCCCAAGCACAGGGATCAAGCACTGACCCCAGAGCTTGCAGCAGCACAGGGATCAGTGACTGACCCCAGAGCCTGCCCAAGCACAGGGATCAAGCACTGACCCCAGAGCTTGCAGCAGCACAGGGATCAGTGACTGACCCCAGAGCCTGCCCAAGCACAGGGATCAAGCACTGACCCCAGAGCTTGCAGCAGCACAGGGATCAGTGACTGACCCCAGAGCCTGCCCAAGCACAGGGATCAAGCACTGACCCCAGAGCTTGCAGCAGCACAGGGATCAGTGACTGACCCCAGAGCCTGCCCAAGCACAGGGATCAAGCACTGACCCCAGAGCTTGCAGCAGCACAGGGATCAGTGACTGACCCCAGAGCCTGCCCAAGCACAGGGATCAAGCACTGACCCCAGAGCTTGCAGCAGCACAGGGATCAGTGACTGACCCCAGAGCCTGCCCAAGCACAGGGATCAAGCACTGACCCCAGAGCTTGCAGCAGCACAGGGATCAGTGACTGACCCCAGAGCCTGCCCAAGCACAGGGATCAAGCACTGACCCCAGAGCTTGCAGCAGCACAGGGATCAGTCACTGACCCCAGAGCCCCCTTCAGCCCATCCCTGAGGCAGCACAGGGATCACAGACAGCCAGGACAGGGCTGGTGCTGGGCAGAGGGAGAGCACAGGGTGCTCTGTGCTGCCCTGAGCCCTGCAGCCCCTCTCCTGAGCCTGCATTCTGCCCCTGGGAGCAGGGCAGGAGCTTGGCCTAGGTGCCAGAGCTGTGCCAGAGCTGCTTGGTTACATAAACTACCTCTTGCTTTGCCAGTTCCTTTGGTACCTCTGTGATTTACTTATTTATTGAAAGATTTATGAGACCTGTAAAAAGGGATGGGGGGTGGAGGTATTTTCAATTTACTGTGTGTTTTGGTACTGTTTGTTCTTTTTCGTGGCTTTTCAGGATGTATTTCAATACAAAGCAGCAGGCTGGTCTGAAAGTGAGACTGATCCCTGCTTAAAGCCCACACTGATCATCCCTGTCAGCCCAGGGATCATGGACACATCTTTGAGTCTGTAACTGGTCATCAAAGGACTTGCATCTAGAGGAAAAATAAAAAATTAAGGGTATATTTGTAACTACTTGTTCTTAGGAATCTGTTTGCTTTGTATGGTCTCTCTTGCCTCAAGGAGAGCCTGTGAAATGTTTTCTGTTGACTCCAGTGGCTGTTGTGTCAGAGTTTTCTTTGTAATAATGAAGTTCACAGTGTATTTTAAGCTTTCCTCTCTGTTTTTGATGTTTTGCAAGGTTCTGGTACAGTAAACAAGAAAGCAGTTTGAATGTTGTATATTGATTTCTCCCAAATTCCCCTCCTTGTTTTGTGTTGGGGCTGCTCAGCCTTCAATAACAATCCCCAAGGGCAAAACCAGCCTGATTTCAACTCCCAGCACTGCTGCACTCCCTTCTGAGCAGGTTTTCCCTAACCATTCCTGGAGAGTCCTTTGCCATGGGATGGAAGTGCAGCTGGAAGGCCCTGCTGCCTCTCCTGGCCACTGCATCCACTGCAGGGATGCATTTGCAGCATCACATATGGCAGGGGACCTTTACAAGGAATAAAAAAGGACTTTTCCAACTAACTGAGCCAACTTCAGGGTGTCCTGTTCCTCAGAACCTCTCAGAGATCTCCTCTGCCAGCTCATTGCTGATGCCCTGCCTGACTGGCTTTGATCCTCAGCCATTCCCCCTCCCCTTCCAACAGTATTGGTTGCCTTCTGAGAAAAACAGGTTCTTAAAAGCAAATAAACAAATCCACAACGTGGAACAGAAGCCTAAGCACCGAGCTGATGGCAAGTGATTAGTAATAGTAATGATTAGAAAGCTTTTTCTGCAGCCTGATACATTTATTACTAAGCTTCAACTATAAATATATTGATCTGGAATTTGTGCTATTCCCAGCAAAACAAAATATGTTCAAGTGAGAAATTCTGCTACACCCTCAGAATGTAATTAACATACGATTTTTCAGGCTGTATTTAATCTATAAATATGAAATCTGCATCTGGGAAGCAGCATGCTCATTTGCATGTGATAGCAGTGGCAGAAGCACAAACAGCAAGGGAAGGAAAAGGGGAGGCAGCCCAGGTGTGGTTTGGGGGCCCCAGGACTGTGTGGGGCTCAGAGGAGGCTGCACCCCTCAGGCAGGGGCTGATTTTGGGACATCCATCACAGGCTGCTCTCCCTGCAAGCCTGGCCAGCAACTGCAGGAGTTTCATCACCATAAACTGCCACTGGATTTATGGTTTGCATTTCACCCAGTCTTATGTTCCAGGCCTATAAATATTCAATGAGTCTTGTAAGTCCTTGTAAGGAAAATATGAGACCCATGCAAGCAGTTTTGGGTGTAATTATCTTTGCAGCAACTTCACTCAAATGATTTTATAGGTAAGAATAATCCTTTTGTTGTCCTGCAGCCCTAATTACAGTATTTATCTTCCCCTTCAAAGCCCGCTCCTACCCCAGCAGCTTTTTAAGCAAAGCACACCTCGATGAGATGCAGCTCCAGCTCCAAAAATAGCCCTGGTTCTGTTTGCAGGGAAAAACCTCCATTGTGCATCTGCCCCACGGCTCCTTCTGTATTCCAGGGCCTTGAAATGTACTGTTAATTAACCTAATTGCATGCCTTTTACTTTGCTGTTAAGTCTGCCACTGAATCCACGGGAAGTGGACCTTACCATGGGTACCAGGATGCTGCTCCCTGCCTTGGCACAATGCCCCAGAGCTGGGCTGACAAACCCAGCCATGGCAATTAGCACTGCATTTAATTAAAGCATGCACATCCCAGTCCCCAGGGTTAGCTTCTGTACCTTCCTGCCCTAGGAACACTCATGCTGGGCTGTGTGCCCATTTTTTGGGGTGCTGACCACTGGGGTTTCCACTTGCAGAACCCCAGAGCTCCAGCCTGCCTACAGGCAGTTGCTTGGAAGCTTTGCTATGACCATATCAGGACTTAATTGTGAAAGAAAAACCTTAAAATGTATATTGGAAGATTTAAAACTATTTGTGCCTCTTCTGCAAATCATTTACCATCCATTTAGCCCCAACCCAAACATCTGCAAGTGCTACCTTTAGGATTAATAAATGCACAGGCACTTCAGTGTTCATTTTCAATGTATTTTCTCCTGTCTCTTGGGCTTATAACTCATTCTGCCCCTTTCTCCCCTCAGTCTTTTTAATCTTCAGGTCAGGAATCACTCCCCATGAAAATAAAGAAACAGTTTTGTCAAAGGCTTGTCAGAGGAGATGGGTGCTTCCATGTGGAATTCAGCCATTTAATGGCTCACTGGGATCTGAGCATTTTTTTTCATTAAGTTGTCCAAAGTAATTTCATCACTCCAGAATTTATTTCACTTCCACCCTCCTCTGCCTGGTGGGTCCCAGCCCAGTTCCTTTAATGTTTGCTGCTGAAACCTCATGCAAGAGCAGGTCCTACAGCCCTGCCCTGTGCCAGAGCTCCTCATGCCTTCAGTTCTGCCTGACTCAGACACAACCCTCACCTTCCAGGGCCTTCACTGCCCCGAGAATTTTAGAGAAAGGAGCTACTTGTTACAATGAAAAGTCCCACAGTCATCAAACAGGAGCAAACTGTAGTAAAAACCAGCACTCCTAATTTTTTAAGAAACAGTTTACATTTTCAAAAATCATCTGCAATTTA